TAGTATAGGAAACCATAGGCTGTTTCGTGATTTCTGAGAAAAACTCCTTTAAACCCACGACAATTAGGACCATTGAAAACAAAATGTAGCTGGTATATTCCTCAGGAAAAAAAAGAGTGTGTAAAATAATTTACTATCATATCCAAAATGTATCAACCAAGTACTGTACATGTTAACAGAATATGAAGAAGTATAGTACAGTCGAAAAACGTTGATTCCTTACCAACACAACGTATGTCAGTGCTAGAACGCTTCACACTGGTCGTTTGATCGAAACGTCGCGCTCAAATCTTCAGCTGGTTATAAGATTTTCTTATTCTGTTGACTTTACCAACTTGAAGAAAATGTTCCGAAACACTGTAAATGTTGTTATTTTAGAGGGATAATAGTTTATCTATTTCAGAAAATTGAATAAAATCGCTAAAAATGGTTACCTTGACCGAATTGAAACAATATTGTGGGTTTCATGATTACCCTGAAAAATAGTTTTTGGTTCAAATTTCAGTTAAAGTCAAATTAAAACTATTCCACAACATTATTCTAAACGCACATTGCGTTAATTTGTCAAAAACAATTTATTCTGCCAAAATAAGTACGTTTTACAGTTCATTCGTGTATAGAGTATATGTTTCAGATCATCACAATAAGGCACTAATTACACTATATATGCGTATCATTTTCAATCCAATATTGATTATATTTTTACTTTATATTTTATTCATCTATCGTACAATATGTTGTTCATGCTATATTTCTCGTGGGATATAACTTCCCTTCAAATTGTTCCGGGTGCTTTCACAATTGTCATATTACCCAACGGCTTATTCAATACCACTCAGCGAATCATTCCTCTGTGTTCTTGCAAACATCGTGTTCGTTGTTGCTTTTTATAATGGCAACCAAATCGATAAAATTCTCTATCTAATTGCCAGTGTATTTGTCGCTTAACGTTAGTTTGCAAGTCGGCAGAACATTACATACATAGAGATAGAAATTACGGATAACTGACTGCATCAATCAAAATCAGGCTTAAGGCAGAGACAGCAGTATGTAACGAAATCGGGTTTTATATCGTCAGGATATATCATTTACCTGCAGTGTTCACCTCAGTATCAACATATCAATAACCTAAAGTTTAAAAGCGAAAGGAAAGCTGAATTTTTTGTATTTTTTTAAAAAAATTCTTCTTATTTAAACACTCTTATTTCAAAATTTTCCTTCAACATTTAATTCATTCGACGTTTCCAGTGCAGTGGGTGGCTGCTTAACGTAATTACAATGTATTTTGTTTGGCATTATTTCGTAGTCCTCTTGCCAAATTGAGCAAGATAGAACGGAATCGCTGTGCTTCGGTTGCCGACAAAGTCTCATGATGACCTTTAGCGATCCCCTCTTTTCCGGCGTCGTCCTTCGTCGATCATGTGTCCGTAAACTTTAAACATTTTTACTTCATCTGGAAAACACCTGTTCCGATTTCAATGAAATTTAGCAGAAACCTCCCATGGCCAAAGGTAGACAAAAAAATATAAATTATAAAGTCCCAAACTCCCAGGGGCTTGAGGGGCAGGATTCAAAAAGGGTCAAACTGACTGGAAATTAAAAAATTCTTCTCGATACCCAAATGTTAGAATCGATGGAAGGTTACCAAAGTTTTAAATTGCATGACCGCAGGAGGATCTTCGAGGATAAGGTATATTCCTACCTGGTGCGGTTAATAATTCAGCTTATTTACTCAAATCTAAGACACATTGGGATAAGTCGAAATATTTTCCACGGTCCCTTGAATTAAGAGATCATGAGTTTCGACAGTTTCGATTTTTCTCAATTGCCTCCCTGACTTCATCAATGTAGGGCCAAGTACAAGAAGGACGAAGTAGTCGTATAATGCATCTTAATTCATTATTTGACGATCTAATTCTAAATTTCGTTTGAAATGTGCTTATTCCCTTAGTTCATGTAATTGCTAATTGATATAAAAACAACCAGAGAATGTCAATAAAGTCATAATTCAGACTTCAAATTGACCAATATATGACCATTTATCATTTTTTGTCATATAATGAATATATTTCCACTAAGTTTTATCATAAGGGCTGGGTATTTTCGTCCTAAGATGAATGTCCTGACGACCTGTCACAGGTGGGTTGCTACAATAATGTTTTCATACATCAAAGCTAGATATCTGTCATTCCTGTATGTGTTCTGTATAGTGTATGCTTATAAACCTGATTGATTGTGGTTGTTGTCAAATCCAGAAACAAGTTTAGTAGACTGATAACATACGTGTTGTCATGACAACGGGCAGTGCTAATTAGAGGACACGTTGGTTATTTCCATACGTGTTTGCTGATCATAAATAGGCATTCTTTTCATCTATGATTTATTACATATTGACGTTTAATTTAATGGGAAAGTGGTTGCCCTCACAGTAGCCACAATTTCGTTTAGACTCTGTGATACCAGGGTAGTGATGAAAATATTAACTGTCTCTCTTTATTGGCAATATATAACAAATTATCAATGATTAATTACATTTCCCAACGTTGTATATCCACTGCTTCCGATAGACAAGATTGTACAAAGACACACAAGTGAATAGCACCTTTTCATAATTCAGAGTGAGATACATTAGAGCCAAACACTTTATCATACAGCTGTTTCGTCCTTTTAGTGATGCTAAGTGCCTAAAATTTGAAGCCTAAAGACGACTAAGGGAAATCCATAGTGATCAAAAGAAAAGTCAAAATCTAGAAGGGAGGTGCAGCAAGCCCAATAGTTCAATAAATTTCGTAATTTCCATACATCGAATAATTTAGAATAGCGTCGAGTACATGTGTATTTTCTGAACCGTGCCACTATTCGAGTGAGCTAAAACGAGGCAAGCAGGTTACGGCTAACCTAGGGGACTCAAAGTCCACCAGGAGTATCCACCACGTGCTATCTAAAAGATTGTACAAAAGACACACAAGTGAATAGCACCTCTTCATAACTTAGAGCGAGAAAATTTTAATATTTCAAAATTGATATTTCAAATGCAATTATTTACCAAAATTAATATACCAAATACGGTATATGACATCCATGAATAAACAAATTGTTGTGTATATGTACTATAAGACGTACTACTTTCCATTAAGTAACAGGTAATGGTATCACTCGCCAATCAATCCCCTAAGGATAAAATTATAGGAACAACAAAATCAATTAGTTGCTGATTTTTGTGAGTTTTGAAGTACACTGGGCAACAATAACAAACAACAACAAACGACAACATTAAGGATATAAACAAAAACAGAACAAAAATAAAGTTAAATAGATGAAGAAAAAAACCATGGCGAGTATCCCTTACGACGAGAATAAATTATGGGTACGGAGAATTTCAAGCTGAGTTGAAATCAATGTCTTACATTATCGGTTCATTAGGTACAATCAAAATTATAACGTGTAAATATATATAAATTGCCTCTCGATACAGTAGAGAGTTTGTCCTTTCAGCCCGCCCTGGTTTGATATTTCATTGTCTGTCTGTTCAGGTATTCACAGCGCTACCCAGCGCCACATGGTATTACCATTGTCTACACGTCAAATAGTTTGACAAGTTTACAATCCACACTGTAATTGAACGCGGATTGGCAATATTTACTTAAACGATTATTTCGTTAACTTTATTTACATGAAATAATATAATGGTTGAGCTTAATTTGCCTTTCTGATCGAATAGAAGAAATAAAATAGGAGAAATTCAAATATATGTCGGGAAAGACAATACACTGAAGTAGGCATTTCTAGCAAAGGTGAGGTTAAGCAGATCTTGCAACGCTGGAGGTATATTACATTGACTTAGGATGGTGAGTTTTTATCTTGTGTATAAATAATTAGTGTCCTCAAATGAAAAGAAAACGATCAAGAAATCAAAATTAATATAAGAAAAATCTAAATGTGATTTATTAAAAAACTGAATTCTGTAAGATGAAATACACGTGGAAGATATTATTTTTGTAAAATTTTGTAAGTTGACATTCATGGTTCTCGACCGCAGATGTTCAAAGTTAACCTCGGGTTATAATGTAACGATCACTCTTGAACGTTGCTTTCTTTTACCACAATAGTCATACGTGGGGGAAATACACATGGCAGCTTTATTGAATTGAAATAGCTTAAGTTTATTAGACATTACGTCAGTACCCGGTTACACGGCAATGTAAATCCTTAATCGATATTACGATGGGACAGTCCCGAGTCAAATAAATCAAATGTTCTTTATGGCTTTTCCAATACACCTTATACAAGAACTTGTATACATATTTATCATATCATTTTGCCCAGGTGTCTGATACACACGTAAGCTGGAGTATGGTATTACTTATTTTTACATTCATTTCATGTTGACTACACTCACTGAACAAAAGGATACTTTTTGCAATGACATGATGAATGAGAACAAAATGGCAGTACCAAGATTAATTATAACATGTATTACTCGTGATGATTTTAAAGTGATGGTTAAATCATATAGCATATAAAATTTTCTCTTTACAGACCAAGCCTCACTCTGGGTGTTCCCGTGCAACAATGACGTAACAACACATGACATTATCAACAAGAATAAGAACATCAATAACAGTTACCATGCATGGTTTACTGATATGAAAAACGAAGACTTGGTTAATTTAGAATCCTGCCAAATCGGAAATACATGACATTTGTGAAAATGATGAAAAGTAACCTTTATTGCGCAAACATTGTTCAAACGTAATTATTACGTCATATATAGCTGTAGGCTAGCAATAGTTTCTATCAAAATCAAAATTGCATCGGCCTTTTCATCAGGTAATTAATATATTCTGTCTAATGATATAAGCCCAAGAGGGTTGATCCAGTATTGTCCCTTTGTTTCTGTGTTTAGAGGCCCTGAACATTTTGCTGTTCAAGTAAGTCTTGTCTTAGGAAAGTGTTTATTTAGTTAAACTGATTATTCATATAACTCCTGTACTCTAAACATGGCACACATTTATACACCTCGGTCACTCTCCGATATTAGGGAATTACGCATGCGCATAGAGACAGAAGATCCGTTGTTTTATGGATTAAAAAAGTTGAAAATGAGAGGACGAGATTTGGCCAACATTCCTCCTGCGTTGTTTCATCTTCAAGAACTCGAAGTCCTCGATCTCAGTCCGGAACGGGAATCGTGCCTCACATTCAGACTCATGTTCGTTCCACGGACAATCTGCAAACTCGTTAACTTGAAAGTGTTAGTGCTTGACACAAACGAATTAGATGAAATTCCGCTTGAAGTTACGAAACTAATCAACATAGAAAGGCTAGCTCTGAGCAATAATCAGTTAAGTTGGTTACCTGAAGGTTTCAACAAACTCAAAAAGTTAAAGAGTTTGCATTTAGCAAACAACGAATTTGAGGAATTTCCGATGCAACTTTGTGAAATTGATGGATTGGAGTTTCTTGATCTTTGTGATAACAAATTGCATGTGCTTCCCGCGGAAATCAGTCGCCTGTCAGAGCTGCACACATTACTGCTGTTCTTCAACCGCTTGGAAGCACTGCCAGAGACGATATGTGAAATGACCTACCTCAATTGTCTCTGGATTGGTAACAACCTCATCAAACAGCTGCCTCGAGCATTCGGAAATCTGAAATACTTAGACTGGGGCGTTAGATACACATCATCGACTCTTGACGGTAACCCGCTGGTAAGTCCCCCGATTGAAATATGTCGTATGGGACCAGGCGCCATTGAAAAATATCTTAATAGCTCGAGGGGGGACATCACCAGTCGGAACAGCAATAAAAGCTTGGTAAACGGTGGACAACGTCGAGATGATGAGGAAAGTGACAGAGGTCAAAGTCGAAACAGTAGGTCTAAATATGAAAATGGTGACGGAGGTGGGAAAAAGAGAACTGGCAACACACGAGATAATCGGAAGAGCACGAGGGCACGAAGGGAAAGAAACATACAGCTCCAAGATTATTCAGATGAAGACGATAAGTAGTACGTACGTATAGTCATTAATAATTTGAAGCTGTCCAAATATGGTAGAATGAATTTTCACAGATGTTGTATTCACAGTTCCTTGTGTTACGCTTGGATCTTCTACACTATGGGTAGTCTCGGAATAGGTATGCTTGGATATTCTACATTATGAGAACTTCCGGAATAAGTTCACTGATTATACCAATAGCATCACATAACGATGGAAAACATTCGCATTTGAAAGACAAAGTCTCTCCTACCATCACGGTTAATTGTGCTGCGACCACTTAATTAATACAAGAGCAAAGCTAACTAAACAACATTGAAGGAAGTTATACTCAGACATCGAAAAAAGATGAGTAGTGTATCTCAAGGTGTACTCACACAACGATGATTCAGTGCCAGCCCGAGGATTTTTTGTTTGTTTGCTTATATGTCTACTTTTATTTGTTCATTTATCCACTTTCATCACATCATCAGAATTGTCTGTCACTGGAAGGCTGTATTGTGGTACACTCCATGACATATTTGTGAGTGAAAGGAACGACAACTGTCGCCGTAGAGATCGTTGAACGACAAGTCACAGATATGTTCTTACTCCGAACAAATAAAAATGTTGTAAAGCGTACATCAAATGTACAAAGAATAATTTTAGGGTATGAGCTTCACGTTATAAATGTACACATTCCATGTCCCAACATCAAATGCTCATCATGTTATACTGGTACCGTAATTATTTTTTTAGGGTTTTCGCTTTTTAAGCTTTTCACGGATAGAAAGATAAACAAAAGCAAATACCCTGAAAATTGAATTATTATAGAAACAACAGTTAATTTTAAAATCAGTGGAAAGTGCGTCCTTGTTGTTTTCAGGATTTTGGTCAACCCGCGAAAACATTTTAACTAGAATGACACTTCATGTATACCATAGGGCATTGCATTTCACATTGTAACACAATAAAGAAATAGGCAGGTTACTGAAGTTTTCAATACGAATGATTTATATGTCAATAACGACGAGCGCGTGTATTCTGATTGACCGAGTCTTGACCAGCCGTCAATAGTCTTTGATTATTTCATTTCAACATTTGAATGCCTGATTATAATCTTATGTATAGCAGAGGTATATGCATGGGGAAACATAATGACGATGCTGAAGAATTGGCAGACAGTGTAAAATTGGTAATAATTGAGGTATATTTTCTTTTGATTTTTTCAAGAATAGAGAAAAAAAAACAAAAACAAAATCACAAAAATAAGGTTTTATTAAAAATAGCATTATGATACGGAAAATCATCACCCGTTATTTATTATTTTTGTTAAAATTCATCCCATTTTGCTTCAAATTTCTGGTTAATTCGCAAAAATTGGAAGCATAAAAAATCCATACACTATAATTGCTATATCAATCGCTTTGTATTGTAAGAATTCTCCTCTTCAATGGTACAGAGCATTTGAAAAGTAAAATTCAATTTTGTCTTTACGCATTTTTTATTTCAGAAATAGATGAATTTTATCACTGGTACCTTTGAAGATCTACACACATATTTCCGACTTTAAATATGACAATTCAATGGACACCGCCAATTTGAAAACCCGTCTTCAAATTTAACATCTGAACGCAGAGTTACTTGGTTAAATGACAAATTGTGTCAAAATGGGATCAAGCCAATTTAAAATTCTAATGAATAAGTATAAAGCTAATTGAAAGATTTATCCGTGCAACGGAATGCACAAACAGAATGACAGGATGAAAACTTTTTTTCTTTAGATTTATGTATAACGTGTGTACATAATGCACAATATGTACGAGTTCAAGCATTAAACTACACAAAACAATCACATTAACAGACTCTAAATGAACAAATAGACATCCATTTCAATACCAGATCAATGATCACATAACCTACATAATTTATTTTCGTGGAGGATTTATTATTAGGGATTTCGCGAGTACTCTTAATCCGAAATGCATAACCTATATTAAGTCCGTAAATCAATTCATCAAAGGTAGTGTTAGAATTATTCGGAGTACAACTAATCTTTCCAAGAAATCATGTGATCATAATTTGTTTTTTCGCTGTCATTTTTATTCGTTTGTTCATTATTTTTTTAAATTTTCATTCCCACGAAAATACATGATTTTACTGTTTTAAACAAAATCCCATCAAATTGAAATATCTAACGATGGGTATATCAATATTCATCTATGTATATAGTGTATGTTTTTTTTTACATTAGCTGGTACCTTGGTATTGAATTAAGTGCACTGAATTACACTGCACTAATGCCTTGCAATATGATATTCACATTTCGTTGATGTAGTTAATTTTGTATATATCTATTGAATGTGAACCATAAGCAGATTAGTGTCTACATTATATAAGGTCATATACACGAATTGTTGCTATTTCAGGAAATGTTCTCAGTCCGTCCACGCACGAACAGCTATTGTTCTCAGTCCGTCCACGCACGAACCGCTGTTGTTCACTTAATAACTGATTTATCTTTTTCATATTTTAAAACCTTTTAGCAGGAAAATTTGAATAAATATTAGTTTTTTCCTTCTAAAATAGTTGTTTTCTTCTTAAATCACATGAATTAGATAGCAAAATACAGGTGTGTCAAAAGAGATTGGCGTGCATTCATGTGGCTATTGCATGTTTCAGGAGGATATTTAAGTCATTCGATGTAAGTAAAAAAAAGTATACAGAAACATTTGATGGATCGTTTGATAAGTGAGAAGAAAAAATTCAGGTCACGTAGAGTTTAAAACAATTACTTTTGCTTTAGCGACTTGGGTTCGATTCTTCGATCAAACGTGAAAACTGGATTAAAGGATTTTGTCTGGGTTGTCTAATGTCCTCAAATAGGAAGACCCCATCGACCCGCCCTCACTCCTGTTTCATTAAGAATCATTAAGAGTGGGTGACATTAGTTGAAATAACTGTTTTCACTGGTAAGGTGTATAGCATCTTGTGTACCATCTTTAAAATTGCACATGCTAGATATTAGTGAAATTTTCGTGGAATTATTCCATAGAGTTTGTCTTTGTTCAGATCAGTATTTAACTGCCGGCTTGCCTTTGCAATAATGCCGACAGTTAAATACTGATCTCAGCAAAAAAAGATCAGAAGGTATTAAAAGTAATGCGGACACGGGAAGAGACATTACCAAGTATAACAAACGAAACTCAACGCAATGGGATCTTGAACAACACTTGCAGGTCCCTTTTAATTGATGCACGTTTCTCTAAAAATATGTGTCGCTAGATAGAGATGAGACGTTCAAGAATTTTAAATCGGGACGTTACAAGTTTCAGGTTGTTGTTCATTAATTCATACCCGGTGGTCAGCAAAAGGCTTCAATTCCATGTAAAAGTTGAAGCGCCCGGATGACTTTGAAAAAAAAGTTGTTCACTGGATGCTGCCTTCCGTTTTGAATATGAAACTAAGACGACCTTACCGAAATGATCCAGTAAGCCAACGACAGAATTATAACTTAAGTCTTATAAAGGTCTGCTTTTACACTTCTAAATAAAATATTTTACAAAAGGCACACGTGTCCAGTGAATGTACCTCACAGAACAGAAGCAGGTACAGCAGAGACATATAGACAAACAATGACTCATACTGCATCGTACAGACGTTTCGTCCCTCTAAGAATCGTCAATGCTAAGGGCCTAAATTTAGAAAGAGATCGGAGTACACAAGTCCCAGAATATACTTCGAAATAGATCTGATAATTATATTTTCAGAGCAACGTCGAGTCATTGTGGACATTCTAAACCGTGTTACTACTAGTATTTGATATCATCAAAACGTGGCATCCAGATTAAAAATGGCATGTATTCTTGCATGCATGACCGAGGAGGAAATTGCGTTTTTACTGCATTGATCTAATCCCAGTGTATCAATCATATAATTGTTCGTGGATTTTCTGTGCGTCATCGATTCACAAAATGAATCGATAATCAATAGATAAATAAATGCCTGACCAGAACAGTTTCATTGATCTTCAAGGATACATTTGCCTTTCGGTTAGATTGATTTTTGGCATTGAAATGGGATCAAGGAAAATGATCGTTTCGGATCTATTTGTAATTGACAGCGATTAAAAAAATCGGATCGCACCATACACAGAATGGCATCCAACAAAGGAACCAATTACATGTAGCAGCCTCGTCTGTCAATACATTCATAATAAAGGTTTGTAACTCCACCAGCCTAACGTTCGAGATATCTCGTTGAGAGTGGTCTGATCGACACATTGTTATTTTTCTTTAATTTAGTGTCTCATTCTGATTCACTATATATCATACCCTAAAACTGTCGCCAGACTTCATCAAACATCGTTAAATTGTCAGATTTCAGTTCGTCAGACACTCATCAGGCATCGAAATCAGACAGAATCTCTGTCAGTTGTCTTCAACAATATCTTTACGTGTCATAAACGCTATTCAACTAGAATGCAGGGTTAAGAATGATCATTTACTGGCCTAATGTTAATTCCCTATGATAAAACATCTCCGATATAAAACTTCCACAGGTAAATGCATGACGTTCGTGTTTCTCACCTGCTGGACGTATTACGACTTTCAAGTATTTCAAATATAAACCATGCAAAAAATCTTCATTTTGATTTTGTACGAACATTTTTCTAATGAATATGTAGCTGAAATCGTAAAGAATGTAGTGTGAAATTCTCAATAATCTGAGTTATAAGCCAAATCTAATGTGTATAATTATTTTACAACTGATACAGCTTGTGTGTTACCAAGGAAAATATGGTTACAAAAGTCAGTGATAGGTTTCTTTTATCAAAGTTAGCAATAGGGTCAACTTATATAAAATTTGAATATCCATAACGATCTGTTACAACTAATGAAAATCGTCATGCCATCTTACCTAAGGGAGGTAACTCTTAATTCCCTTGCATCAGTCCACCGATAATTTACCATACAAATACATTCAACAAAATATCTTGAAAACTCCCAATATCCTCTTTAATTTTCTGGTTTTATTTTAATTTGTGCGAATTTTATTTCAGACGTCTCGACAACCTCAATGCATAAAGAAGCGGAAATTTAGAAAACTAAAAGTAAATGGTAAAAATATGGTTTAATACAAATTTCTAATTAGGCGATTAAAAAAAACAAAAAACAAAAAATCATCAAGCCAATAAACTATTATAATAGCAAACATGACAAACTAAATTGGTTAATTTCAAGAATTCTTAGTGATGTCCATATACTTACTTGTACATAATCTGAGTGATCTCACTGGTGGGAATGTGAAAAGTCATTTATTTATTTAGTTACTTTTATTTATCTTTTTATTCGGTTATCTTATCAAAAGAAATTTGGTTTTTGTGCAAGAATTTGAATTCCCTGTGATATTTCGATACACTGCTTCAACTCACTTTTTAAAATGATCATTTCTACGATAACTGCTCATGAAAAGTGATTTTGATTGGTACAGCTCAAATCGGAAATTAAAAGTGTCAATTTTCCTTGAAACATATACAAGAGGCCCAACAGTCTTCACACGGTCACCTGAGTAACAATGCTTCTCCTAACATGCCATAGAAATAATTTTGTTTAAAAAAAATCAAGATAATTTTAACTATGATGCACACATAATGCAAATGAACATTTGCCCCTCTGTTGGCAGACCTTTTCTTGTTTTCAAACGAGGCTTAATTTATTGACGAGCTTATCAGAACAGTTCACAAAGAACTTGCAATGTCGTTTAATTTCACATATTCAGATTTCAAATATATTGATGACGTCTTGCCTTTGAATAACACACATTTATTGACTACGTCCATCACATATCCAAAAGAAATGGAAATCAAAGATACAACAAACTCTTCTATTTCAGTCACTTATCGCGATCTTTTCCTACAATGAAACCAACATGGACAGCTTTCCATCAAGCTGTATGGTAAACGTGATTTCTTTATAAAAAAAATATTTTCTAAAAGTCGTTTGTAACACATAAAAAAATACCGTATAATGAAAGACTAAATTCTTCTTGACCAAGAAGGCTCTCTCTTCCGGAACACCTGGTCTTATTCTCCTTTTACTTTTTCATGAGTCTGTGTAAATCTTTCTTTTGTTCATATTTTGCCGTAGTTTTATGGAATTTGAGTGTCAATTATGACTGTTGCGATGTTGATATCTCTTGATGTTTATGGTGTATACATTAACTGCTGTTCCACGCTAAAGGTTCTAACAAAGTTTGAATTCAAAGAAGTTACACTCAAAATATGAATTTTCCTATATAAAATCTTCCATCCAGGAACAATAGAACATTTTTGAAAATTCATTCAATTTGACTAATTTTTGACCCCACCCATCAGCACCTGAGGGTCGGTCAAGGTCAACATGTGCATCTCATCAAACTTATACTAATAAAAAAATCTAACCAAGTTTTAACTATTTCTGAAAGAACTTAAACAAATTAGGCTCAATAATGCCATTTTCCTGTAGAAAATACAGTAATTTTAACCCCTCCCCAATGGGAAATGAGGGACCCTGGGGTCATGAAATTTACATTTTTTAACAACATTAGTCACTTCCATCCATGATGAGTATTTGGTTCTATATTATCTTGGTATTAAGAAGAAGACTTTTGAAATTGCAGTCAATTTGACCCTTTTTTGGCCCGCCCAACAAGCCCTGGGGGTCGGGCGAGGTCAACATGTGCATCTCATAAAACTGTTATCTTGAACTAATAATTCTAACCAGATTTGAACTATTTCCAATAGAAAATGAAATAATGTTCAAAAATGTAATTTTCCTATATAAACTACAGTAAAATTTACCCCCTCCCCTGGGGGAAATGCGAGACCCTGGGGCCATGAAATTTACAATTTTGGTAAAGCATCTGAAGGCCTTTCCATCCATGATGAGTATTTGATTCTACCATACCTGAGATTTTAAAAAGAATTTTGCAGTTTCAATAAATGGACCCTTTTTAGCACTGCCCCTTCGGCCCGGGTGGTTGAGGACAATATAATCTACAATTTGGGGCGCCTTTATCCATGGAAGGTTTTTGTAGAATTTCATTGAAATCAGTTCTGGAGTTTTTCAGAAGGCGAAAACATTAAAAAGTTTACCACGCATGATGTTAGACAAAAGGGGATCACGATAGGTCACCCCGAGACTTGTCTTAGGTGACCTAAAAACCGTTTAACATCAGGTAAGTCAGGTGGTCATTTATCAGCAACATTCATAAAGGCTTTTTAAATTCCCCAAAGTACTTCCTTTGATGAAGGTCAAAGGCCATGGTCAATGTTACCATGGACAATGACGAACAATGCCAACACATTTTTTCCTTTTGAAAAACATTGATTTGGGTTTTCATTTCCATCATGTCCACAGGTCAAATGTCAAGGTCATCAATATTTCATACAAGTACGTTTGGGCCAGAGTATATGCAGAGTTCATGCTTGATTTTATGGTCTGAATGTCAAAAATTAATTCTACAGTTACTATCATTTATAAATCTTTTTCGTCTTATTCTTAGTTTTTAGTCAACTCTTCATAATATGTAGTGAAGCTATAATTACAGAGCTAGTTGCCCATACACATAAACAAAGAAATTCCTTTAGTATGTCTCATATTTATTGGAATATAAAAATACTGCATTGGAGATTGCAATGTAAATAAATAAATTACAAAAATTATAAATGGAAACAATTTGAACAAACAAAAGTACACTGAATGTTTGCTGTTAATGCATTTAAAACAATGATTAATGAACTACCAGAGCGCTACATTCTACAAGTAGTGAATAAGCTATGATTGGGTTTAATAAATATCAATATATCATACCAAAGAACACAAATTTTTTCAGCAAGGTACAATATATATATTCGCAAGAAAAAAGACAAGCAAATATACACATAAATAACCATAATATTGACAAAATTTCTGATTATTTACATTGTTTCCAAATACCAAAAATCATAGAAAATTTACTTCAACAAATGATTTCTTCTTCAGGTAAATCCAAGTCTAAATCAGTCTTTCATTACACTGGAAATTTTGAATTTTGATGCATTACAAACCACTTCTAAAAAAACTATTTATATAAAGTATTTAATGAAAATATAGCTTAAAAATAAATATTCAAATAATTCTATGAAACAAAAGTTTTTTCCAAAAAACTTGCCATTTTCTGTTTGCATTTTAAGTGTATTTAGTTAAATTGTCAAAACTTTCCAAATACACTCATCATATTACATCATTTAAATCATCATGCAACTTTCACTTTTTCACCAGAAATAGAAATTTCTGTGAATGATACTTCCAGAAAAATTTATTGTAATTATGATCAGTTTACCTTTCACTGTATTTATGTCAGGTGATGATACTTTTTCCAGTGGCACAACAAAGTGCAATACATATACCAAAGTACAAAACATGTTACTACCTACATAAAAATAATGTGATAATGTTGCAATACCTAAGGCAGTCAGAGTATATGATGAGACAAAAATCACCAGCACTTTGAAAGAAAGCAAATTGAATATCAACTGGTCCCTGTATGCCGTTTTCATGAGGGTGTAGCAAAACCTGAGGCGTTAAAGGGTAAAATGGTGATTTTAAAATGAAAAAAGCCCTAAGTTAGCAACCAGGTAGATAGCTTGATAAGTTGGTAAACTGGAAAAGAAGTGCCACCATGCTGGCATTCAAAATTTCTGTTTGCTTTTCAAATAAACAAAGCATATCATGTCTGATAAAATGTGACATGCATCTGCAAGGGTAAAGGAAAATTCAAATTTTTAATATTACGAATGTAGGTGTTGCCATTACATTAGAAAAAAGTTTTCACAATTATTTAAAGTTGAAATAGATGAATTGATTAAATTGACAATTATGTTTGTATATTACGATAAAGGATAATTAAAAAATTTTCATTAGAATTCAAAATTGTACCAAAAAAAAAAAAAAAAAAATACAAACAAAAACAAAACTAAAAAATCTAGATGATATGTTGATAATTATATGAAGTGAAGTCATGCACAATTAATTTAATACCTCAGTATAAACAAAAATGTGACATTTCCTTTTTCCAACATGAGAAATCCTACTGTCGAATATCTTGGTAAAAAGTGTTCATCTACGTTAAATATACAGGTGCTTCAATAATAAAAAAACTAATCCCAATCTATTTTATGATTTCCCATTAAGCAATACTGGAGATACAAAAACAAACCATGAAAAAGATGATTTTCCTTTTTGTATTTGCAGTATCACGAGACAAATAGACAAGATGTACTTTGAACATACAGAAAGAACTGAATCTGTTAACAATTCATACAATACATAATGAAAGGACATATAACTAATTGTATGCTTACTCTGTTATCCGAATCAACAACATTTATACATTTTATGATTCTAAATATACAAGGGACTAGGAATCATAATCAACTGCAATAAACGCATCTAATTGTCATAACAGCCAATCATAATATTGCACATTTTCAAATATTTTTTGATATCAACAAAAATTGTCAAAAAATTGACACACTATTTATCCTTCTTGTTTATTTGAAAACAGTAAAACATTTTCTATTATCTATAAAAGTCTCAGTATTACACAGCCACTATCAGTGTATACCACTTCAGTAATGATCTTATGCCATTTATAACAAAAAATCTGTCTCCATTCCATATTACAAGTTTTGTTTCTCCACACTGTTGGTGCACTTTCCTTTTTTAGATATATCTCTCACACTACATGACCTTGGGATTATTTTTTTTTCTAAAGATGAAGACAAATTAAACTATAATGCAGATTTTCTTGTTCAGTTTAGAATCTTGACATTAAAATTCACAAAACTATTAAGGACTATTTATGGCAACTTGAATTGACAATTAACTACTTGTACAAAAAAATTTAAGGACATCAAAAAACATCAATCAAAAAAAAGAAAGAGTGAACTTAAATCGTTCAAAGCCAAAAACATTTAATCAATATAATTGACACTTTCACATGTACAAAATTAACAAACAAACAATTATTTAAGTTAAATATAAGTTAAAATGTCCTACACTCCATTCATCCCTCACTAAATGTCACAGTAAAAACACATTATCTACCTGAAAATTTGTACTTGTTTGTTACAGATTGCCTGATTAGATACAGGGCATTAACCTGTATGTGACCCTTGAGCAAGCTGTAAACAACATGGCTGTATGTAATGTGTGATAGGTCATCAACACGTTAGCTATTGCAGCACAGGTATTATTTTTCAATGTATGTATCATATCAAACACAATCTCTGGCAAGTATTTTCTCCAATGTATTCATGCACCCATGATTTCCTTAAACATATAAACGCCTTCTCTTCATTCCAAAATCTACCCTTGGAAATGCCTTATAATAGCTCTCTCTCTCTCTCTTGACATCTTTTACATGTACATTCAAAAACTTTAACCTGTCATTGGCTCTCATCATTCTCTAGCTCCCTCTCTCTTATGCTCTTGGCCATTTACATTATCATGATTTCATCAATTTGTACAACCTTTTAAACTTGAACTAAATATATATGTATTAAGCTAAGATTCTGTGTCCATGAGCTGAGGGGAGCCACAGCTTTGTAGGTTTGAATCATCCGATTCCATTGAGTGATGACTGTCTCGAGACTCTTCTGAACATTGGGAAATGTCTGATGATAAGTTTGGAGATTTGCACTTTTTGCCAGAAAGATGACGACGAGCATGTTTACGCAGATGATCACTTCGCATAAAGCGTCTGTCACAGATTTCACATGTGAAGTTTTTCTCCCCTGTATGTGTTCGCATGTGTCTGGATCGTTCATCAGATCTAGCAAACTTTCGGCCACATCCATTCCATTCACAAATGAAAGGCTTTTCACCTGCAAAACATTGTAGGAACATATAACAAACAATTCTATCAACTGAAAGCGAGGTTTAATGTACTAAAAAGAAAATCTTTGAACAATTTGAATGATACATGCCAATTGTGAATGAAACATTTGCTTAAAAAAGTTTATCTTGTATCTTTAATTACCTTACATACATGAAGCATTTTCAATGCAACATTTGCATAAAAAATATCATTCTCCTTGTGCAAGTATTTTTTGTAACAAATAATCATAGTGTATAAAGCACTTGATTACTGCTTGCAGTATATCATTACAGACTTAGTTTGTATAGGCAATTTTACCTACCTGTGTGAGTGCGCAGGTGAGCCTTCAGATGAGAATTTTTAAAGTATGTTTTACTACAGTTGGTGAAAGTACAAGCATGGGTCCGACGTCGACTCCTATCCAACTGGTCCTGCTCAATGTGGTTCCCATTACGGTCACTAGGGGGCGGCGCTGGGGCAATAGGACAAAGTCTGTCAACCCATGCTCGATAGGCAGGTGGTGCTGCCATTTGCTGAGAGTTGTTCACCACAATAACCTGAATGATGGGCTGTTGATGTGATCCAAGTCCATTTAAACTAACAGGAATCTGTTGGGATTGGTTGAGATTTAATGGAGCTACAAGTCGCGACAAACCGTTATTGGATGTACCGTCCAGAGGCTTTAAGCCTAATACATCTGATTGAGAAACATTGTTCACAGTTAAATTTTTTGCAGGTGAACTACAAGAGTCATTTGATGTAGAGACAATCTGTTCTTGTGAAATGAAGGTGGGACTGCTTGTGAGCCGGGGATGACTCAAGTGATTGGGTACAATGACCGAGACAGGACGACCTTTGGTTACAACAGGATCTTCTGCAGGCTTAGGTTCTCGTAGCAACTAAAAATGATCAAATAAAACAAAATGAATACACAAGACAAAGAATACAAGACAAGATCAGAGTTAGAACACTACAAGACACTGAAGACAGTAGCTGCAATGAATAGATGGCAGGTGCATACAACTGCGACATATTGTACAGAATATCATACATAGTGCTATGGCTAAGCTAATATTGAAAATATTCAAACATATAAGTATAGTGAACAAGCTTTACCTGTGCCAACTTTGAATCCCTGCGCATGTCATGGTAGATGTAGCTACCATTGCTGTCTTCCCCGGACAGGGATCCGATGCTAAAGGGAGATGGGGGTGGCGAGGAACAAACAGAACCCTCGGGACTGGTGGAAGGAGTGTAAGCTGGACTGGAACTGCCAGACATGCTATCAGTCTTGGCCTCCTGAACCATCTGTTGTATACTACCCATAGATAAGAGTGTTTCCACTGCATCACGCTCAACTGGGTCACTGCAACTTGTAATGTGATCTTTTCCTTTTTTAATTACCATTTTAGCCTGGAAAGCCAATCAGAAATGATGTTATAACAAAATTAATATTTCGGATCTTGTTAATTTCTGAATTTCTGTTTTTCTTTAGTTTCAGTTTTTGAAATAGATTTAATTAATTATAATACAACAATATTAAGATATACACCTGAATAAGTCATTGTAAACTAACACCTTTCATTTCTGTGTAACTGAAAGACAGAAAGAAAGAAATGCAGCAGAGACTAAATATCAGCTCTTGAAAGAAAAGCCAATGATTGGTATGCAAACAGTCAGTCTACATTTTTTTATTATTTATAGTAATTTGGGTTATTTCAGCTTTCTAACTCCAGTGTATCGAAACTGAACGAAAAACTGAAGCAAAACTATTCATGCATTGATTATAACACGATTACATTTAGAATTAGATTATGGGCTGTATTCTAAATATAGATGTCTAAGTATCCCCACAAGATATATTTATAAACACAATTCGAGGTCATTTCCTGTTCACGTGTTCAGCAAGTGTTTTGAGTTTTTATTTCGTTGTGTAATCACTACCGTTTTACAAGAAAATATTTCGCCCTATATAAATAATTGCTATAAAACTGAATTATCATGCAATATTGTTGCACGAAACATAATTGATTATATCACATGCTTGTTATAATCTGAAACACGCAGTGTCTGAGTGACCTGCAACACACTCGGCCGCGACCTAGGACTTTGAACACTCGACAATGAATATCATTAGCAGGCGAAGTCGGTCACAGACACACCCCTCGATTACAGCACCGAATCAAAGTAATACAATCAAGCATTCAAAGCAAGTTAACGTTTTCACTACTGAAAAATTCGTATATAAAAATCCAATGCAAGTTGCAGTGTAACGGTAAAATACAACGATAAGTGGAAATCTGTGTTAACCTCATTATTTGTATCATCACATCAACGCGTGCGTATATTCCGAAGGGAGACAATCGCTCTTTGTTTACATCAAAAAGAAAATTATTGTCTCTGTATTTGATAGCTTTGAGCGGATATATTTTCACTCATTCAATTATGTTTAACACTTTGAAGTTAATCTATCTGCACGAATCCACAGAAACAATATATATGTAACGAACTGAGATAAGCTAGATACTAGCTTGCAGGCGTTACGAAACCAACATAGGTCTACCTCATCTGTCAAAATCGAAGCACATCGCTTCCGTCGACTTCATAACACGTTAGACGTAGTACTTACGTTAGTGAATTTCTTTTGGTGAAATCTATACACGATTCTTCAGAAATAACTCGTAGACCATCATCGACTAAAGCGCGTATACCAAATACATCACAACACACCGATCATTGCTTAGATCATCCATACGAGGGCGGGGATGTGTCGACCAATCAAAAATGGGGGCACGGTAACAATCAGCCAATCATATTGGTTTTATCATGTGATCAGAGCCTGATATACTAACCATGTCCACGTGCTTTCGATATGTACTAAGAGTTGGAGACCTAGCAGTGTTTCCTGATGCAATATTTCAAAGGAATTTTTATGTAATTTTGAAAGGTCATATAGCTCTAGATCTAGAAATCAAATTGCGTATGTGATAATCTAGAACTAATATTCTTTTGTTTAATATAAACATAGATATTCAGAATTAATAAACAATAACGTCATTATATTTTCTTTCATAAATATATCTCAGCAATTTATTTTAATAATTAGCCTTAATGTCGCAATAACTCTTTACATGGTTGATTAAACTGACAATAATGTTAGTCTTATTTATCTCTATATGAATTATAACTTACTTTACCAGTACGTGTTACAAATTGATCGTGATTAATATCTGAACGCTCGAATTTAAATGACATTTATGACAAATAATTGAAATTTAATTTGCCATACTCAAGTATACCTAAATCACAATAGTTTTTACTTGAATTCTCCCAAACTTACGATATGTTTTATCTAAAAGTTCACATCGGTATATAACACGAGGGAAGGTTTACTTGAACTCTCCCAAACTTACCATTTTTTATATATAAAAGTCCACATCCGTATTAACACAAGAAGAAGTTGAACTTTTTCATCTGTACAGCGCCATACTCAGAGTGGAACTAGTTCTCAAGGTGTATAACCCCGGAGACGTACACAGCAAAACGTGCGAATCATGATCAGCCTTAGGCCTACGGCATGATCGACAGGTGAAACTTCGTTAGCATCATATAGCGTGTATACGATGTTATAAAATGTCCTACCTTTCAACTATATATACCGTCTGTAATTCTCCTAAAATAAAAACCATGTAAAACTAGATTTTAATATAAAAAATAAGCTTATTTGAATAACAAAATATCTTGATATTTCACTCATTTTATTACTCATTTATACATATCTAGTCCATATCTGATAAAATCAGCTTTAAACATGCCATGGAGCAGTCACATGCTTTACATCTATACTATGTACGTTATGTTAACTAGGACTATGTTCTGTAAGTTCGTGTGCACTAGCCATATTTTTGGAATATTTCAATGTCGGCGCAGTTCGACCGTGGCTGCGACCTCCAGTCATGTCTTCAGCTAATTCTGCGTTTACTTATTGTTAACTCGGAATATGTGCTAATTACTTTGTTAGTCACTATATAAGACTTTTACATTACACAATAAAAGGGGTGTATATATACATATATCTCAAAAGTTACGCGTAAATGTAGTCTTCACAGAGTCATCATCATCAACATCATCATCCCAAAGTATTATCACACCTTCATCATACCACAGTGTCATTTCATCAAACCACAGTGTCATCGCACCATAGTATAATACGAGTATCATCGTCATCATACCACAGTGTCATCGTCATCATACCACAGTGTCATCGTCATCCTACCACAATATCGTCGTCATCATACCACAGTGTCGTCGTCATCATACCACAGTGTCGTCGTCATCATACCACAGTGTCATCGTCATCATACCAAAGTATCATCGTCATCATACCACAGTGTCATCGTCATCATACCACAGTGTCATCGTCATCCTACCACAATATCGTCGTCATCATACCACGGTGTCGTCGTCATCATACCACAGTGTCGTCGTCATCATACCACAGTGTCATCGTCATCATACCAAAGTGTCATCGTCATCATACCACAGTGTCATCGTCATCATACCACAGTGTCGTCGTCATCATACCACAGTGTCATCGTCATCATACCACAATATCGTCGTCATCATACCACAGTGTCATCGTCATCATGCCACAGTGTCATCGTCATCCTACCACAATATCGTCGTCATCATACCACAATATCGTCGTCATTATACCACAGTGTCGTCGTCATCATACCAGTGTCATCGTCATCGTACCACAATATCATTCGAGTATCATTGTCATCTTCCCACAGTGTCATCGTCATCACGTCGTGATAGCGTAGTGTCATCATACCTTGATATCGTCGTCATAATATCACATTGTCATTGTCGTCTTATTACATTTTTATTGTCATCATTCCACCTTTTCATCTTCATCTTACCACAGTATCATTGTCATCATATACTTTTTCATCTTCATCACACCAGAGTATCATCGTCATCATACCACGGTATCATCATCATCAACGTCATCATGATCCCATGTTACCCATACCTGAACATCATCTAAGTTCTCCATTCCGTCCAATCTGAGTACCTGTAGTGGTATAAAACGTCACGAACTGGGTTTGTGACACAATGAAAATTCGAAGCGGTATACATGAAAGGTATCACGTAGGATAGAGTTATTAACCATTAGTCATAACCGTACTGTAGAATTAGGCAGAAAATTCGTTTCTTTTCGGCGTCGATAATGTTATGAACTCCATTTTATATACCCCTTCCCCTTCCCAACCCCACCCCTCAACCTCTACACACACCCCTTGCATCTAATGCCTTTCAAGAATACGAGACAAGAAAAGAAGATAATTTGACGTGAATGATTCAATGATGTAGAGATATTTCCTCCAGTAGATTTGTAGCGATGTGGGTCGGTGTTATTTCTTTACCTCTCGATCCTTACATGCGATGATTCCTGAAAATGGCTAATTGCTTGTGAGATACAAAACACTAATTTTTGAGGTTTTAGAAAACCGTGCTTTACTATGTAGATTAGCAGGAAAATTCTCGTTTCCTTAAGGAATTACCTCCCTTCCACTGGTGTGTCTGCTTTAAATTGGTGTTTCGGTTGATAGAGAACACAACAAAATAAATTTCTACATGTTTTGTTCCCGTTTTATTGAAACTATAATGTGTTCTTCAACACGTGTTACCAAAGAACACCATTTTAACACGTCAACCTATCTTCAAACCCAGGTATAATACTTATGTACGATTCACTTACACACGAATACAAATTAATTGTATATAATATATTTATTTCATTTATACATAGATTCAGTAATTTGAAGTTAGGTTAAAAGTAATTTGATATATGTTAAAACGGCGTTCCACAACTGCCTGTACATGCATTTTAATACATTAAAATGAATATTTGATTATAAAAATCAAGCCTATAAATCATATGACATCATCTGAATGTCAAACATTCCATATATGGCTACAGTTTACAGATGAACTCTGATCCAATAGTTTTTAAAGGAGATTCATATGTCAGCGTAAGCAGACTTATGTCCTTAAAATTGAGAACGACTTTCCGGTAACACATGTAATGTTGTGTTCATGACTGAATTCTGAAAAGAAATTCTGCAAGAAAATTCAAATTAACTCACACTAACGTTAGAATCTACTAGATATAATGTTACTCAATGATTTGTTTCAGCGAGACGCTATATAGGTCCATTACACATACCGTATACATTCCTTATACAAAAATCGCGGGGCGGATGATTCATGCAAGATTCAACGATATGCAATATACAAAGGCATCTTTGTTGAAATAATTCATAAGCTTCAAACGCGTTTGCCCTGCGCTTAAATTTGATGATTTCTTAATGGAATTATGAAAAAATCAATTAATCGTAATACAGTTTGTTTTCCATTTCTATGCCATGAAAATCAAAGTGACTTGGCACTTATTTCCAACCTCAGCAACGTCCAGTAATTATGTATTGTAGAGCTTAGGGATGTGAATTCGTGCCAAGATCCTGTGTCATACAGTTACATCTGATTTAAATATGTTACAAGTGGGGCTTTGAGAGTAAGGTTACAATACAATCTAATAAACAAATGATTCACACTCTGTGTCGTAATTAGAGAAATTGTTCAGTCTCAAGTTGATACCGTTTCCTTTCTGTAGATAAATCAAGTACCAGATGGTTCCGGCAAACTTCGGAAGCCACGGAAAACGCCAATGATCCGAGATTAACCTCAGGATGACACGTGCAAAGACGCTGGTGGTAATCATTGCAAAAAGTATGTACTGTTCTAGGTTTATGGAATTTTTTGGCGTTAAAATGCGGTGATGAGGGGAAAAATATCGTCATAATCGTTAATTTAACTTATTTATAATGCTGGATTGAATTTAGTTTAACTTCTTTAAGGTCAATGTATGAAAACAGATTAATAAAAAACAACATCAAAAAACAAAGAAATACAAAAACGACAACAGTCCCTCCAGGAATCAATATCAAATTGTTTAAAGAATTCCGTTTGATGTTGAATACTAAATTGTTATTGACTTTACATCTTTTACTTCTTAGAATAATGTTATAATGAATTGTATAGATGTAAAACATTCAGCACTAGTATTATATCTTCGTGTTTTCAAAATTCAAAATTTGACAAAAATTTACTCATAGTGAAAATAGGACAATTCGCCGGCAGATTAAATTCAAATTCAAGTTGTTTGTTCCTTTGTAAGTTTGTAAGTATATTAAGGATAATGTGAGCAACATGTTGGTTGTAAAAATTTACTCAGAAATTATAGAAATAGATGTAGAAAGTATGGTACTACACTTAAACTCTAAATAGCAACGCAATACATATATGTACATATATATATATATATATATATATATAATTAAATTAGCTTCCCGCCGTTAATTAGCCAGAAGAAGATATTTCACCAAACTGTTTAATTTACGTTCATTAGAAGTACATAGGAGTTGTATGAATTCTTATACATTTGGCATTCTTCTGTGATAAGGTTTAGATTTTTTGTTTAACATCTCGACAATGCGGACAGACAATTATAAAATGGCAAAGAACAGATGAATTAGGCCTATATCGACCTCCAAAATGTTTATCAAACAATTTCGAAAACAAATATTCGAATTCTATTTTTCTGGTGGAATACCTCCCTAGCGAATGAATATTCGATTTTTCTTATATTACTTATATTTGTCCTGACAGTGAACAATACAGTTTGTAACGATGTTCGTTATTCACACTATCGTCAATTTCATGATTGCCTCTAGAGTCGATCTTAGCAGGCAAACATCTTTCATGTACTGAAATATTTTATGAGAGTGAACCCTTACAGATAATGTGTCAACTCAGCTTAAGCGCTGTTTAAAGCCGTGACGAAACAGCGAGATTCCAACAGTCAGAAGATTGCAGTGCGTGGGAGTGGACGCATGAGTATTTACATATGTGTCAGGTATGTACATTGTTATACATTATGATTGTTCAGATTTGCTTTTTTTCTGTTATTATTTATATATTTTGTTTTTGTTTTTATTGTTTTGTTTCCGATACATATATGAAACTGGTTAAACAATCATACATGCACTCAGACAAACAATTAAATATATATAAATCTTCACATTGTTTGATGACTAAGGAAAATACAAGTTCTTAGAATTGTTTTGTTATTACTTCATCGCTAATTTTATCAGCAATGTAATATGATGATATACGTACAACATAATATATGTCTCAGACTCAACCATGTCGCTCTGTAAGTCAGGAAAGAAGCATTTTTGTGTTTTTTATTCCATAAAAACTTAAAAGATAAAAACTCTTATATTTTTCTCACTGGCAATGAAAGAAAAAAATTCAATGAATGATTGTAGTTCATTGGAGCGCTTACACAGCTGTAGCTATGACGGAACTAATGAAAATTATAGTAAAAAGATTGCTAACATTCTCAATTTAGCCAATATATTTTCAGACACTTCCGATATATTGTTGCGGTCAAATGAATTACTCAAATCCATTTTTTAAAATTCGCGCCAGTAACTGAGCACTGTTTTTGAAACTTGTATATCGTTTTGATAGCCTTTTAATAATTAAAGTTAAAAACAAATACGGGAACGTAATATTGCACTCATTTTTAATACACTTCCAAAATAAAAGTTAGGTAGATTTATTTTGATTACATGGAAATTTACAAAGTAGGAATGAATCCAAAATTTGGCATTTTCCCTTCAATACTTACTTAAATGCTTCAATGTCTCTTAGGTCATAGAATATGTTCACATTTAATATACGTTTGTAAGAGGGGAACGTGTTAACGTTGTTAAAAATCACAATTACCTCTCTCTCTCTCTCTCTCCCCCCCCCCTAACTCTCTCTCTCTCTCTCTCTCTCTCTCTCTCTCTCTCTCTCTCTGCTGTCTCTCTGTCTGCCTCTCAGTTTCTCTGTTTCTCCAAAATCTATGCCCTCTCCATAATTAAGTATTTTCAATATTGTTCTATATCAATTGATACTTTTCGTCTTCTTGAAAATAAACCATTTTCTTACAAGTTTATTATATCTGTAGGATGGCCGTGTGATGGTATATACATCGAGAACTTAAAGAGCAGAGGAAGTTTTGCGTTTTTACGCCTGCGTTCTTGCTCTTATACATAATTAGACATTTTTTCTCAACAGTGTAATTACTTAAACGCATGCAATTTCTGGGTAAGTGCTCATCATTTGTAATTGTAATTTTACATACCTAAAATTCAATACGAATACACATTTTTTTCGGCGAAATTCATAGTTTTAAAACATTCAAACACTGTAAAATTTGTGATTCTTCCTGTAATGTGATGAAGTCGAGACTTGCTTCAAGAAATCATATTATCGTGTAGATGAAAAACACGATTTTACGCTTGCAATCCGTATAAACATCAGATGAATGGATGTGGATTCGAAATTATGGCGACGCAGTTTGACATTAATAGTGCAGCTTCAATAAATTATATCATTGTGTATGAATGAATAACATAAGTTTTTCCATATCTCCATATCTCTGTATCTTCTCTCTCGCACACCCTCACAAACTGTCTAGTCAACTTACTATTCTGTGAGTGTGTGTGAAATTTAATGATGATAACATTCGATAATCACGATGAAGACAAGGTAAATTCATAATTAATTTCTGATGGTGATAATGTTGACTGATAAAAAAACAGAAGGTTGAATGATCACATGATGATTCTGATTGATATTTGAATATATGTTTATGATGATGATGAATCACTGATGATGATGGTGTCGAATTAATCATATGGGTGAATGTTGGTGTGCCGTTTGTAGTCTTGTTATGTACTTTGTGAAAGTTTTGAAAAATAAAACAAATACGAAAAAAATAATAACATAACTTTACGATAAATTCCCAAATGCAATATAATAGTTATTGTTGACCAATTTGAGTATGAACTAACTCGGTTACAATTAGGCCCTTCTTTTCTATTGATATTGCAACAGGACTTGGTAACTACCAATTTGATCTTACATTTGTCACACTGTCTGTAACCTAGTGCCACATTAAATGAAAATTCTTCAGTAAAAAAAAAAAAAAGTCCACAATGTCATATAGAATTCGTGCCTATAAAATTTTAACATGTGTTATTACACTTATAGCCGGAATATTATGTGATAAAGAAAGGTATTCAAAGTCAAAATATACGCATCATCCGGCAAAATTACGATTTTCAACCGCTGCTATGTCAGTACCAATGCACTATGCCGTCTTGAGTATTTCTCATGTAAGCGGATTTTGATATATATATATTATCTTTATTGTGAAACTTGTGTATATTGACGCTTTAAATTAGAATCAGTATCATTGTTGAAGTCATAGTAGTGATAAATTATAAATTGATTTATTGATTTACATCAGTGACATCAGCTTGTTAGAGGCTATTATGAGTGATCATCATTCAAGCTGTACATACACGGTGCACGAACTGACCTAGCCATGGTATCGCACTGCGACAGCCATGTACACATGTAATAAAAGGGGTTTGTCTTACAATAATTTTATGTGTGTTATAATTATATTAGTTATACAAGCTTTGAACAGTGGTTCGGAAGTACGTCTTAAGTCCTCGTTGATACATCAATAACTAAAAAGGGCGCACGTGGGGTGATCGTATCAATTTTAAGTACGCATTTCATCTATGTAAAGAATAAATTTCTAATCAGTCTGGGTTTCCTTTGAATCCATGAACGGACATGTTTTATGTGATCTGAGGCAAATTTTGATTATTCTCGTACATGAGCTGACAAATTGATAGAAGTTAAAATTCAGATTACGCTTTTTTCATTTTTTTTTACTTTATGCTTAAAATTAAAAAAAAATTATATAGAACCATGCAAATAAAAAAGGATTGCACACGACGTTCATTTGAAAAATGGCTGAGTGATGCGTGTCGGGTTTTATTTCCAAGAAAAAAATCATAAACATTTATTTGTATAGACACGAACTTTTGAAAGGGAATAAGTTGGTGTCATTTTGTAAACAGTCATCCGGTTTTATCTGCGTTATCCGTCTAAGTGTTCGATACACATAAGAGTATACTTCACGATAAACACGCAGTCCTCATTACAGACCGTGGGTGAAATAAGTAGTCCCGAAAATATCATTCCGCTGTAATGCATACATCGACGTCGTACTCTCTTCCGTTCATAATCCCGTGTACATGGTTAGCGGTGGAGACGTATAAGCTCGGGGTCCATGTCAACATAGATGGGGAATATAGTTATTTCTGTTAGGAATATAATATAATCAGACAAAATTCCTCCCGAAAAGGAAACGAGACCCCACGGTTCCGAAGGTTCTGCACAGGTAAGTTATAGTGAAACCTGCGTGTTACCTATTTTGGACTTGCAGCTTAACATTCGATGTTATCCGGACATGCCCCGGTCACATGCTGTATTACACCGACATATTACATTTGGTTATCACACGTGATAAACAATTTCCAAATTGTATCTAACAACTAATATTTGATATTTTTTACCTAATTTATAAATGAAGAACTTTAATTTTAAAGTAGATATATAGGTCTAGAGGTAGAATACTGTGGACCACACTGTGGTGGTACAGTGTATTGTGCAAGGACACGTCGGCTTTATCACTTTATTTATTGATAAATTCTGTTTTGATCAGTTACACACCCGTCCATCTGGTGATATTACACGTGACAGTCAGATGATAGTTCTTCTGGTATTGTTCTATACGGATTTACTACTGTCTAATTAATAAACAAAACTGATTTACAGACCAATTATATCTCTACACCTATACTATTCCAAGACCATCCTAGGAATGACATTTTAAATGAAAGTTTTTTTCCTTTTGGACATGTCATAGTAAATCAAAATAGTTTAGAACCGAGTTAGACATGTATGTTTATATATTCTATAGTGAGCGTTATGCGGTATCGTGTTTCATCATTATCAGATTAAAACAGTATCCTGACCTACAAAATATGCCTGAAAGCAATCACATGGAAATAAAAACAAGAAGGTTTTAAATAATTTTAAAATTCTAACAGTTAAAAAATTTAAAACCTCTAATGCCGAAAACTTCTCTGAGAAAGGAGATTTGAACCAATAAGGTTAATGTGACATTTGATATCCTGTTGGTCTAACATCCAGTTTAAAGTCATTATTGGTTTTGTTGTCATCGTAGTTGCCCTCCTCCTCCTTGGTATTTATCTAGTTAACAAAATACATCATTTGTCCTCATGGTCTTTCTCATCATCGTGACATTCATCGTCATGGTAAATGCAGGAATGCACCTGTTTTAACTGAATATTTATTAAAACAAGGCTATAGAAAGAGATAGGTTAATTGTCCTCTTGCTTCTGTTCATGTTCTAGATGTCAGCAATGGTCTTCTTGAAGGCTTAGCATTCTACAAGCTTAAAGTATTCCAGACTGTAATGATAATTACAATATTTGAAAATCAGGGACACTGCCTCTGTATCACTTTGTGGTAACAGCTGGTTATCACATTATATTGATATATATATATATAAGGATATGCAGCACAAAGTTACATTTGCATACCACATCATTGATCTTTTGTGCTCAATAACATTGTAGAAGAGTAATTCTAATAGTTTGAAGCAAAACCAGTTTTCAAACACATTTTGTGTACAAACAGAATTTTTACCATTTAAGCTTGTATAGTACTGAAGTAAAAATGTTATTTTAGATGAGATTTGAGATGTTTATTTTGGGAATTTTCAACTGTTATGTTGAAGTTTATAATGAATTTTTCATATGGATTTGTCATGCTGTGTTTCAACGGTGTACAATTTCACTGTAATCCTATTTAGAATACCAGTACTACAGATCTACCTTGAAAACTTGTCAACTTGATTTTCATAGACCTTTGAAAATCTGCACTAGCTCCTGCCATACCTCTCAATAACATTAGCATTGTTCAACTCACAAGTGTTGTTCATTAACTTGAAAAAACTTTTGAGTTTGGTTTTTGTTTATTGTCTGTTGATATCACCTTCCATACATACTTTAGAAATAGGGTTGTCACCTGTCCCTGTAGTTTATCTTCGTTTGCACCAAAATCTTTACATTTTATTACATGTAAAGTCCAAAACCTGTCAGAAAGCAACATTTTACTCATTTTTTTTCGCAAAAAAAATCGTTCTAGTCCAATTTGGGGAAGGGATAGTCAAACCCACAGAAATTGATACCAAATATCAGTTAGTGATGTCTTGCGACTCTTGTACCAAAATCTTTAACATTTAAATAACAGAGCCCCCACCAGTATAACAACATTAGGTCTCCTCAAAGAGGCAAGCTCATAATAAACAGGGAATGTGTATTGGTCCTATTCAACTTACATGTATATGGTCACCAGATAGTCATCATAGATGATTGATCCCCATAAATTGGTGAAGGACTTTTAAGACAAAGTTCAAACTACATGTATTTCCATTTAAAAAAGATTGTAAATGTATTACATCATAAATCACTTTTACTCTTTACATTTAGATATTGCACTGTATTATCCAGCAATTAGCCCTTACCTATTAATAAGCCCACCCATATATATATATATTATGAAATGATAAACCAAGGGTATCTCATTGTTCAGAAATACCGCGTAAGTCCATTCCCTGATTATGTGTTGACCATCTGGGGAATGTTAATTATAGGATAGATTATTATGTAAACAGTGTTTTTTCTTCTTGATTTCATAACTGCCTGTGCCTTTATAGATTTAGGAAAATATAGTAGGATTTATTGAAAAATTGGGAAAATATTCTTGGATTTTATTTTCAATGTTTTTGATTGTAAAACAAGTGAAAAAAATCAGTTAGCAAACATTCCTAGGCTAAATTTGCTTCTGGACATAAAAGCTTGATAACACAAGTTTACTCAGATTATAATTAAACAAGAAAAATATGTCGAGTATAATGACAGAATGATATCACATGATAACAGATTCTTTGATATTATTACATTTATATAACTTGAATCAGATTACACAAATCCTAAAAATATTTCAAAATATTAATGGTAAGGAAATTTTCAGAAATCCTTAAGAATAAATCATGTTCTAAGATTAAATCTATCTATTCTTCTATCCGTCTGTTTGTCCAGTGACTGCTTTTTAATTTTAAAGGTTTTCAGCAATTTTTTTTGACCTGCTGTTAATAATCAGTTCGACAATGCTAATTTTCTATAATTTATATTACTTTGAGGTCTAATAATCACTCTTGTGTGGTAAGGAATTAATATTGTGACATTTAATAACACTTGTGGATTGTAATATAGGATTTTTTAGCCAGTTTTGTTAAGTTACCCTGTTAATTTATAGCATTGCTGCAATGCTGATTTAATGCGTTGTTATTTATTGGTGTAATATAAGGTTAGGAATTTGAATTTTGAAATTTATTATTAATCTTAACAAATACTTTAACATTAAATTGTTATTTTGGAGCACAAAAAACTCGGGTATTTATTGCATAAAAATCTTAAGCTTGATTTTCATCAATCTTTTTTCGATCAACTTTCAAGGTGCTGATATCATCAAAATGATATCAGACTGACTCATGTAAACTTTATTCATGATTCATGACATGTAAGATGTTTTGTTTTACAATGTGTTAGATAAATGGTAGGCACCACTTGCCTTGCTCACTGCATGTTGTGTGGAGTAAGCTGTTGGGTTTGAGTTTTTGAATCTGTCGGTTCTCTGTCAGTTAATCAATAGGTATCCTGTACTTGCAATAGTTGTTAATGATATTTTTAAGCTGCTTGCATGGTCTATTTAAATACAAAACTGTTTATATCAGAACTTGATACAGCCATTGGTAGGTGTCAGCATTACCCAACTGTAAGGTATATGTTATGGCAGGGCTGCTGATTTCATGCATTCTGAATTTGTTGTGTGACATTGAGATTAAGAATTCAAAACATCTTCAAGAATTTTTTGAAGTCCAAATGTATTTAGCTGTACTTTATGAAGTTTTCTTTTTGAAGTATAAAAAGATCGATTTTGATACTTTTGTCTATTCATTTTCGCTGGCTACAAAATGTCACAAAAACTTGTCAATTTACCCTGTTCATGATTTCTGATGTGCATAATGCTTTGAGGAATTAAAGTGTCAGTATTATGTTATTTTGCTATTGTTGACATTTCTTTTTTATATTTTTTTCTGTTACCATGGAGAGATTGTGAAAAAACACAGAATTAGTGGTAACTTTCTTTTCTGTGCTACAACTTCAAAACCTTTCCACTCAAGCTTATAAAATATTCTGTGTATTAGTGCCTAAGTTATGTCCTTTCTTTTTATTGGGGACATTTTATTATTTATCTTTTTTCTGTTATCATCAAATTTTTCGATTTCTTGTATTACTCAGGAGCTTATAGATTGCATGAATTTGTTCATGGAAAATACCAAACTCTATTGAAATATCAGCTGTCAAACACGGAGGATCTATGTCAAGATATGAATGCTTACTATAAGGTTGATATATAAGATATATATATATATATTATATAAAATGTTGAAGTTGAGGAGATGCAAGGAAGTTTACCTGGTAATTGATAATTGACAAAAAATGTTACATTTTGCACTTGCGCTTTCACTGTATTAGATCTTCAGGTGGCAGGTGATAGTAGTGGTACATAATTGGGTGACGTCACAAATTGTTAAACCGATATATATATATATATATATCATTTGGGTTTTGCACAAACAGCTGGGTGTAGGGGATGATGCCATGCTTTGCAACTCCTTGTTGTGATTTGATATAAAGGTACCTTTGGAATTAACTATCCTTTTCACCAGGCAGACAAAGGAATTTTAAGGGGGGAAAACCTGCTTTTGACATGTTTTGGAGTTTTTCTCTGATAGTATTTATTAAACCAACTTGAAATATAATATGGACAGGTAGCTTGGCAAACAAATTCCATTCAAAATGGAAAGTGATATCAGTAGACTATAAACAATTGCCAAACTATCTCTGTTTCAATATTTGTTATTGACAAACAGTTCTGAGGCGAGCTCTGCTGTTCTGCAACAGCTCATTTATAATTCCGGACATATCGCATATGTGGTGGTCGAGCATGGCAAAAGCAGGACGCAGGGACATTCATGTTGCAACAACATATTTCTTTCTTTAATATGATTCTTATTTATCATGTGGATATTTTTAAAAAATGTTGGGAATGTAACTTCCATAAATTCTACTTTAGACCCCTGCTCAGTCAAAGGAAGGAGAAATTTGCTTTACAATGAATCTCTGGAAATTAACAACCAAATTCATAGATTTTTTTTTTTTTTCAATTTTTATGAAATGTTTCTTCTACAGAGTTTTTTCACAAGTTTGAAAGGTTAAGTCACCTAAGGGATACAATGTTAATTTAATGATATTGTATATTGTATAATTTGCCACTCCTTACGTGACGGGCATACCAAAACAGTCATGACTTCTGATACTTGGTTGTAACACTATGCACTTGATATTGAAGGTGTACCTTGACATTTACACAACAAATATAAGACAGGTCATCACATTTCTTACACATTTCTCACACAGTTCCTTTTTAAAGCATATATCTTTCGACAAAAATTTGCTAGAAACAAATCAATGTTAATAGCAAAAGTACTATTAAAACTTTTTTCACTAGACTAATGTAACATAGATTATTATCAAGTAGGAATTCCATAGATGAGAGATACCAAATTCATGAATTCTTCATAAGTTGTAAAGTTCATACCAGATATGCACTTTGCATTGGCCATTTTGCCAATATCTTTTAAGCATTACAATTAGCAAAAGACATGAACGTGGAGAAATCTTTCAACAAGAGGAAATTATGCACAGATGTTCAGCATACTGATGATACAAATATGTAAGATATAGATATAACTTTTCGAAGGAAGTGTTTTGATACTGTTTATGGTACTGACCCAATTTAACCAAATTATTCTCAACAATGGCAATATATTCTCTGTGATGTATCATACTCCACACATAGACAATGGAGGATAGAATATTGATGCAAAATCTGTGCAGTTTTGTGTTTTGAAGAACTGTCTGACATGCTGCCCCACTCTCTAGTAGTGGAATGATGTCATCCCAGTATACATGAAAGTGTGATGTTTGTCTGCAGCTTTACTATTACTAATCATTACTGATAGTAATGATACTATACAATTCAGAATCCATCCCTTGCCAGGCACACTTAAGGTCAAACTTTATGGATGACCACATGTGATAATCTAGTATTATAATCATGCCTTGAAGTTGTGATACTATTGAAGTAAGACATAAGATACAGAGATGAAAATTTTCAGGCTACTGACTGATTTAAACCTATTTCAGAATTTATGCATAATGATAGTGCAGTGTTCTCATCTTGTTAAGCCATTTTGCCTTTAAGCCAATTTTCATCTCTTTGGATATTTAGTATCTAATGGTGACAAGCAATTTTATATTTCATGTTATGAAATTGTCCTCTAATTGTATGTAATTACTGTTGCAGGGAGGTTTCTCAGAGGTGTTCTACATAGAAAGCTTTGAGGGCCTGTGTCGTTTAAAGAAGAAGTTTAACTTCAACGCAGAACCACCGTGGGATCCCAGCTAGTATCGGCTAAGTGCAGGTGTTTCCGTAGGCCAGGTAAATAATTGACTTTTTAGGCCGAATGAAAATACTGTATACTAAAAATTGATATGCATCATATTTACTAAAATTATAGGTACAGATCGATTTAGGTTTTTGAAACATTTCATTTCTGAACTATTAATTTCAGTCTTTTCCATTTTGGATCCCAGGTCAATATCCAAGGACTCGCTTGATAAAACCCTTACATAAGAATTGCGACCAAATTTTAATTTCCAGTTAATTTGGTTTGAAATAGCTATGATTTTTTCTCCTGTGTTCTAGTTAATTATGAATAAAAGCACATGTATTTGTATGTGTGATGAAAATGTTTCCAATTTCTCATTTCAGATTGTTTGTACAGCTTATCTACTATTTTATCCAACTCGTTAGTCTAATAGTTGTCCAACATGAAACATTACATCGGAAAAAACTGTATGGTTGAGATGCTGACCAGTGAGAGGTCAACACAGAGTCTTGTAGAGGAAAAGATTCTAACCCAGCAGCTCGAGGTGAGTTCTGGTTATGTTATTTACCCAGTAATAAGCATATATCTTGTAATAAGCCAGACTATATGATACTATTCAGTTAATTTAAAAATCAGCACAAATTCAACACAAATGTAGTATTCGACTCAACAATGTTGAAATCATCCATGTTTAAATTACTAAGAAGAGAAAAAAAATCAGGACTGTACTAAACATTCAACTCGTGTATTTGATTCACTACGATCCAGTTTTGTTGTATTGAAAAATCATATATTTGGTGAACACTTGGTTTCATGAATAAATGTACTTGGAAAATATCTGTACAAAATTGTTCTTATTTTAACAGTTTCTAGAACTAACCCCTCATTCCCATGCAAAATTCATGATTATATACAGTAAGCTAATCCCTGATATTGATGAAGAAGTTACATGTTTTTGCTCTTTGGGCTTTTTGCAGGAAAAATGCAGTTATGATATTATCTAGATTAGATTTATTTGCTCTGATCAGGCTTTCACAGCAAAATCTTGCAATAAGTCAGTAATGTACGATCTAACACGTAATCGGTCTTTAAGTTGGAAGTGGTCTTATTACAGGACAATAAAATAGATACCATCTGTTGGCATATTGGGATTGGCTGAATTTATTCCAAACACTAGGACTTCTTCCTGACTAAAATATCTATTTACAACATATTTTGTAATACATGTGATAAATCAGATTTGGAATAAAACTAGTTGTACTCCATAAATAAATTTTCCCATTAAATATCATAAGTTTACCGATACCAAATTTCTGATTTATTTTTAGATTGTGCAAGTGAGAATTCTATGTTTGAATCCATGGTGTCTTCTTCAGATACTTGAAATATTCGACAAGATAAAACCTGTTTAAGCAATACTTGCCTGATGACATAGACTGGTAAATGATTCTGGAGTCATGCATACCTGAGATTACTTTGATGAAAGGAATCAAATTGTCATTTAGCAACTTTGATAATTTACCAGCTTTTAGTTTAGCATCTTTCCAGTTGTCAAGGATAGATGTCGTAGAGTCAGATTTAAAATCATAGAATCAACCAAAGGGTTACAATGAACCTTCAATTTTCATGGAGGCATATTCTAAAATAAAGAAAGAAGTTCTGTTTCAGATTTATAAATATGTTTGCCAAGAATCACATAACCTGGTGGTTATTACAAAAATTGATTAAAGCAATCTAGTTAGTGATTTGTAATCCTATTATGTGCATGTATATTTGGTACATCTGTATTATTCTGTGGTACGATGGGCTCAGTGGGTTAATTATTATCAGGTTGACATCATTCACCGGTGTGTACCTCGTGGTGTACGACCTATATAATTCTAGTATAGAGATTACAGTTATAAAACAAACAATACACTACTGATAAAGGTCAGGTCACAGTGCTGGGGTGAGCTAAATGTGATTTAAGTTTGATTCAAAGAAAAACAAAACAAATAGAGATTGGTTAGCTTACATTAGAGTATTGTAAGTTAAATCCTTGGAGAATTGACAGATAAGCTCAGTTCAAAAAGGTTAGTCAGCTTGGGTTCATTTTATACATAAAATGGTTAAAGAGTTCATATCTTGCAAAATTTTCAAATGAAGTGTGTAATTTCTTTGTTACATAAATATTGGCAACATAAATAAATGAGGATAAATAATGTTTATGATGCCAATGATATCTTATCTGCTTGCTATATGGGGAATACAAAAGAGACCAAAGTATTTTTGGTGACAATCATCAGATTAATTTTGATGATAGATAGAGTCCCAAGTGAGTTCTTTGTTCATTTGCACTTAACGTCATATAGAACCGCCAAAATATCCCAATCAAAAATGAAAATCTCATGATTCATAGCAAGCCTTTTGGCAGTAGATAATGCTGTACATGATTGCCACATTGCATGATAAATATGTACACCCATGACTTATTTTCAAATGCTCAATCTCCCCAGGGATGGCAGAAAGGAAAAAGTGGTGGAATCTGTCTCCTTCCATGAATGTGATATGAAATAGAAACTTATGCAATCTCAATTTATTGTTGAAATACTTGAATTGAAGACTATGAAATAAATCACTTCTATCCATATAGATTACTGCCTACATTAATTCTAAGCAAATTATCAATTAATTTTCACTAAACAAAACCTTGAGTCCTGGGTTGGGATAGTTGTTGTTCTGAAATAGCTCAAAATAAAACCAGATTCACTGGAATAGTCCTTCTTGAATTAAGTTGGGTTTTTTCCTACAAGTTGTCAGGTTTTTAGGATAAATGTAAGGCAGGACAGTTTCAGCCTATTGTCACAGCACATGGAAGTAGATGTTACTCCCAATCCTTACTTCTAATTGCTTCAAATTTTCTAAAGAATTACCCACAGCACCTAGATTGAGTAAAATTTTCTGTTGTAACTTGTAGAAAATATTTGATGTATCTATTTTAATGTGACTACAGAAGAAGGATGATGCCTTTTTCGTGGGAGATTTGGGAGATATTTACGAGAAGTTCAAGAAGTGGAACAGGCAACTGCCAAGAGTGCGTCCCTTCTATGGTAAGTACATTTATTTGTAGCTTTTGTAAACAGTTAACATCTTCCATATTGAGCTTGTCTCATGGAACCTTTAACTGGTAATTACCAGGTACTAAAACAAGTATTTTGGTTTATTTCTGTAATTCTCATCCATTTTAGGTTTATTATGCTCCTAGGAAAGAGAGGGTGTTGTCACCCCTTTGTCATAATGTCTGTCCTTTTGTCCATCATAATATTGTAGGGGGCATAACACAAAAATGATAAGAGGTATCAACATGAAATTTTATAGGTAGGTAGATCTCAAGGGGAAAAAGGCAATGCACAAGAACCATTACACCCTTTTGCATAATTTAGGAGTTACTGCCCTTTATTCTTTTTCATACTTAGATTTTGCCCAATATGAGGAGCATAACTTGTCTCTGACAGTCCTTGTTTATGTTGTTGTATATAATTGGGAGTCATGAATATGTTAATCACATTATTGTCATTCGTTGTCTATAGCGGTCAAGTGTAATGATGACCATGCTGTGCTCAAGCTTCTGGTGGACCTTGGATTGTCTTTTGACTGTGCCAGTAAGGTAAGATCATTTCCATTTCATGATGTCATTATCACAGTTAACAATTAGTTGCTGTGTAAGTCCTTCAAATCATTTCTGAAAGCAGTCTTATCAACGATTTCTCCATTAATTTGAAAAGTTTCTATGATGTAGGCTGAGATCCAGAAAATCCTTGACCTTGGGGTGCATCCTTCACGCATCATTTATGCTAACCCTTGCAAGCAGATGTCCTTCATCAGACATGCAGCTAAGAACCATGTGTCCCTGATGACTTTTGACAATGAAGATGAATTGATCAAAGTAAAGGCTCTCTATCCAGATGCACAGTGAGTAATTATTGTGTAGTATATCTAATTAAACTCTTTTATACTTTTAACTTGTCACCAGCTATTGGCAGGAAATCATAACTATGCCTATCTTTACATGAAATAAATTTTGTAAATTTATTACAGAGTAAATTTCATTTTACAAGGTAAAACGTATGATGGTTTCATCTAGTTTAGTAGGTGAACCTCGGACTAATGTTCATTGGTTATACTGATATATGTAATTGCTTATGACAGGCTGGTGCTGAGAATATTGCCTCCAACCAATTTTAAGGTCCAGTGTGATCTTGGAATGAAGTTTGGATGTCATCCTAACAAAGCTCGTCACCTCCTTGAAGCTGCAAAGCGCTACAATCTCTCCGTGGTTGGAGTCAGGTAAGGATTCTTTGAGGTAGTTTGTTGTGTCGTTCAATATTGTGGAATGACAAACTCAGATTATTTTATGTTCTGTTTTCATTTTATTCTAGCTCTGTAGACTGGTCTATTATGTCAATGGAGATTTTCCTGTTGATATACAAGCCCTATCTGTAAATGATCCACGTAACTTCCAACCCAGTCCAATGTATCAATATGCCTACTTAGTTACCAGTTCTTGTATCTACTCACCCTATTTATGTAACTATGTAAGTGTCTGATAACCTAGATATCGGACTTGGTGACATTTTAAAAATCCACATATTTTTTTCCATCCATCCACTTTATACCTACTGGAGCAGAGGTGGGGGGCGGGGAAGGATGGGTGGCAACACATCACCTCTAAGTCAATATCAGCAGGTAATTACCAGATGATGAAATTTGTTAGTAATTATACACCCATATCTACTTAATATGGGTGGACATATTACCAGATGAGGCCTAATGGCAGGTTAAATAAAATTTTCATCTTATTAATTCACTTATCTTAATCAACCCACCTACCTCCTTAATCACTGATGTACCTTTATCCTTCACCTCTACTAACTTAATATTCACCTACTTAATTACCTTCTTATCTTACCCTTACCTGTCTTCCTGCATGCATGATAAGTCCCCAACTGGGAACTGCTGGAGAACATAGGTTGCATTATATCAATCCATCCTTCTTTCTTGTTTGGGCTCTCTTCGATGCTACTTGTCACTAGAACTTCATACTTGGGGTATGGGTTCACCTTAGTGTGATTTATCAAAAGTAGGTCTTTCTGATCTTCATTTTAATCTTTGACCTGCATCAAAGAAAAAATGAGTGTGGGCTGTTAATACTGGCCCAATGGCTTGCACATCTATGACCAAGTGTTAAACAAAGCATAGCTGAATTGACTACAGTACATTGTTACCATCTGGTGTATATTTTTGTTTATAATCTGTTTACCATTTTGTTACACTCTTTCGGCCTTAATGTACATAGGATTATAGTAAAGCTGAAAAAGTTGGTAGATTCCTTACTATCTCGTAGACTTTGTACGTCGTTACTAGTAGGCTCCACACTGGTCATTTGTCTGATGAAGGTGACTGTGTTGTCATCGAAGCATCACACTCTTATCTTCTACTGGTTGTGTTAAAACAACAAGTTCTCGTCTACTGACGTTACCAACCTGAAGAAAATATTCCCAGAAAAAAGAGAGAGAAATGTCTTGTATCTAATCAACCTCTCTGATCTTTTATTTTAATGTTACTAACCTTGTAACTTGAAATGTTATGTCTTACAGCTTTCATGTGGGAAGTGGTTGCGAGGAGGCCAATGCATTTGCTGTGGCTGTAGAGCAAGCACGCACTGTGTTTGACCATGGCCTTGACCTTGGGTTTGATATGAAGTTGCTAGATATTGGTGGAGGCTTTCCTGGACAGGAGAGTGCTACAATTACCTTCGAGGAGGTAGTTATCATTACAGTTGTGGATCACACTTTTTACTGGTCAATATTTTGCAATAAGAAAAATGTATATTAAACAAAAAATTTTCAAGTTACAGATTGATGGTAATTATATTTTTGATTGATTAGAACAAACATTTTCCCTCACTATAAACCTCTTTTTTCAGATCACTGATGTCCTGAATGTCGCTCTGGACAGATATTTCCCAGAAGAGGATGGGGTTGACATCATTGCTGAGCCTGGCCGTTTCTTTGTGGCATCAGCATTCAGTCTCACTGTTAACATCATTGCAAAGAGGGTGGTGGCTCGTGACCAACATGGAGATAGTAAGTATAATATAAAATCTTTCTGGAAGTACAGGAGCATGAGAACAGCAGTTACTGTGATATAAGACTCTGAGGAACACAACTATGATAAATATGGATATATAAAACTGATAAAAACACTTGTTGAGCTGATTGATTTTATTAAGATTTAACACCTGTTCATCAGTTTCATCATTTTGAATCTCTTTGCATCCTGAATAATTTGAAGAAATATGATAAATCTTTTTGAAAGCAAAGCATTAAAGGAATAATCTAACATTTCTGTTTATGGATAATGACTACTTTGTCAGTAAAAGGTTATTAATGGACAGCTGATGTTTTCAGATGCAGAACCATTGGATTATCCAACAGCTGATGAGGAACCTTCCATCATGTACTATGTCAATGATGGTGTGTATGGCTCATTCAACTGTCTGTTGTATGACCATGCCACTGTCACTGCGTGTGTTCCCAATGTATGTATCTAAACTTTTAATATGATGGATCACATCAACCACACTGACCATACCATACATCTTTCAAACACTTATATACATCATTCTTCAGTATTGATTCTGTAAAACATCTTTTATTGGATAATTTTCATGATCTTATCCCAAATATTCTCATGGATTCTGATGCTAGCCCAAATATTGAGGCCATCTTTCCACTTGAGGCAGACATTTGAATATGACTTTGGAGGAATTTATTATAAATATGTCTCATCAAATTGTGAAGAGGAGAACATCATAATGATAATCTTTGACATATTCCAATTAAATTTTTCTTCAGTTCAAGTGAGATTGTTGATAATAACCAATGAACCAGATGTTTTGATATTTGGTTGGTATGTTCCTAGGATGAAGCTCAACAAAGTTTGCAAAAGGAAATGACCTTGACTTATATTCAAGTTCACAGGGGTTAAATTTGTTCAGACATTTAAATGACTTCTTATGTACTAAAAAGCCGAAAAGCATGATATTTGGCTGGTATGTTCTTAGGATGAAGCCCAACAAAGAGAAGACAGACACCTATGTTCAAGGTCACACGGGTCAAATCTGTTAAAACATTTAAATAACTTCTTCTTTTGAACTAAAAGGCCTAGAGGCATGATATTTGGATGATATATATACCAGATGAGCCCTGCAGGCCCATTGGGCCTATTGTTTAATTTATTGTAATGTCTTCCTCACCCTGTCAAGTTTGCACTACTTTTACACATTCTGATATATTGTAGTGGATTCAGAGATTATTTGGTAATCAAATTACTGCCTTTCATACAAAATACCATGTTATATCCCATTTTATTAGGTAACCTGAGACAAAGTCTCAGGGTAACATATTGGGATCCCAATTTTGTCTGACATCTTGCATTGTGCGTCCCATGTTGTGCGTGGTAAAAAACTTTTAACGTTTTCAACTTCTGGAAAAATCCTGAACCATTTCTGGGAAATTATACTAAAACCTTCCATAGCTAATGGTGCACCCAGATTGAAAATGATATGGTTTCAAACCCTTAGGGGCCTGAGGGGCAGGGCCAAAAAGGGTCAAATTTATTGAAACTTACAAAATCCCAGGTATGGTAGAATCAAGTTCACTACATGGATTGAAAGGCCTTCAGATGCTTTACCAAAATTATAAATTTCATGACCCCAGGGTCTTGCATATTTGTATAGGAAAATGATATTATTGAGCATATGGGCATAATTTGTTTATTTTCTTTCAAAAGTAATTCATACCTAGTTAGAATTTTCTTTTTTATTAGTGTAAATTGGCAGTTTAATGAGATGCACCTATTGACCTTGACTGACCACAGGGGCTGATGGATAGAACCAAAAATAGGTCAAATTGACTGAAATTTCAAAGATGTTTTACTGTTCCTTGATGGAAGATTTTATAGGAAAATTCAAATCTTGAGTGCAATTTCTTTTCATTCAAAAATTGGATAGAAACCTTGGCACTGGACAGTAGTTAATGTATACGCAATTTACATTTGCATTATGTTTACAATTGGTTAAAGTTATTACTTTATTAACAAAATCATTTCTATAATATGTTACAAGAAGCATTGTGAGTTGGGTGACAGTTTGGCCTTTGCTGTATTTAAGTCAGTCTAATTTGATTATATTTATCTACAGGAGGTTGAGAATGACCTGAACTACACCAGTAGTGTATGGGGCCCTACCTGTGACGGTCTGGACTGCATTCTTGAGGAGGTGAAGCTGCCTGAGCTCCAGGTTGGAAACTGGCTTTACTTCCTAGACATGGGAGCCTACACTCTTGCCGCAGCTTCAGGATTCAATGGCATGCCTGCTCCTTGTCGCTTCTACGTCTGCTCAATGGAAAAGTGGTGAGTAATTCTTTGTTGGACAGAACTCTCTTTAAGAAGAGGTAGGATTCTGATATGAAAAACTGCTTTCTGTTATATTCCATTTATAAATGAAACAGGCCAGTCTTAATATGCCAATATAGTGTCAAAGTTTTGATAAAATTCTTGTTTTTCTGGTGTCTTTACAAAACATTCTGATGAATTTGGCTCAAAACTTTAGATTATTGTAGAAATGTTTCTCTAGTTTGTAAATTAACATCTGATATTAATTCTTCATGAAGCACTGCTATCATTTCTTTACCTATCAATATGTATTCTTCCTTGACAGGAGAGCCATGTATCCTGAGGGTAGAGAGGCCAAAAATCTGCCCATAAAATCTGTACCACAGATGAAATCAGGCCACAAGATGCATGAGACAGCAAACCTCCTTGGAACCTCCCCTGCGGAAGGCTTTGTTGTGGGTGATCTGGACATCTAGCTCATCAAAGACTTGATCATCAGCAGTGGTTTCACCAAAGAAACATGCTCCAACCACTGTTGTTAAATATTTCTCTGATGACTTTTTTGTCCAGATGAGTGGAATCTTGTTCGCTTTCCATATAGAGGCTTCTGTATTTTATAAATCGACATCTTTTCACCATACTTTTCTTTCTGTTGATGCTGCCATTGTAGTTGGCTGGTTTGTATATGTGTTAAGAAGCTTTAGGCGAATTCATCATATCGTAGATCCATCACAAAGAGGTTAAGCAGAGTCAAATGATCTTTCTTCTTCGATTGAAATTTGTTGAGTGAGAGGGAAAACATTTCAAACCATAAGAAAGTGATTTTGATTGACTGATAAAATTTGTTAAATTAAGAGAAAATGCTACATGATTTCATGTTGTCTTTGAGTCAAATTGTGGGTATTGCCAATGTATTGAATGGTATGCTGGATAGCACAAAACTTGAGTCAGAGTATAAAAGTTTGATACAAGTTTTGACATTTTGTACTCAAATTATATGACTTGTATATTTTTAGAGCTATTTTGATTTTATGACCAAAAGTTATCATCAGTAGACTTGTCTATCGCCCATTTTCCTGACAAACAGGGACCATGTTGCATATACCATTTGACAAATTGACTCTGTTCATGACTTTTCATACCTATACACATTTCATCTTTGCACTTGAAATGTATGGGGAACACTCAAGCAGCAGTAGTTTTGATGGGAAAAGTTGTCTTTGAAAAAAACCATTTCACAACTAAATTTTGCCACAGAGGCATAAATGATGTTGTATTTTCTCTTACACATTGAATGAGATAAGTATTTTAAATGGTCGCTATGACACATCGGGGACCAATGTGACAAGTTTGTGTCACTGTGACATCACTTGATCAGTCAAGGTCATGATGACATCATGTGATCAGTCACTGTAAGATCATGTGACTAGCCATAGAATCAATCATAAATGCGACCATCCTCCTTTGTATGTGTATCTATGATAGTAGCTAAGCTGTACAAATGAGGGAAACACCTGCCAGAACTTTCAACTGGCCCCCCCTTTTTTCATTTTTTTTTTTTTTCTTATTTTAAAAACAAAACCTGCATCTTTGAATTTTCTGTTTGTTGCAAATTTGCTAGAAGAGAATTAAAAAATGCAAATTATTTGTATTTCTTGTTTTTATTTGACATTAATGTAAACTCGAATGCAATGGAAATTCAAAAAGCATGTTGCAATACAGACCTTGTGTGGTTGGATTGTCAAAAGCAACAGATATAAAGTGTAACACAGTATGTCAAAGAAAGTTTATTTTGGTGATTTCAGACCCAGGGACATCCCCTGCTAAATTTGTAAAGTTATTGTTATTTTCAAGAATGAATAACTGAAATCTGAGGACACTATTATTTTAGCTCGCCTTGCTTGAAGGGCAGAGTGAGTTCAGTGCATACTGTTTGTCTGTCATCGGTCAGTCTGTCATACTTTTTCTTACAAATGCTACTAATCAAAAACAAGCCACAGGATTTTGACCAAATTTAGTCAGAAGCATCCCCAGGGATTTCGAAACGGTGAATCTCGGTCAACAAGGGCTGTGGAGCAGGACCGAAACCGAAAAGGGGAAATTTTCAAGTCCTACTCCTGTAGAAATGATTTGGTGTGAATCAGTGTTGGATGAAGGGGAACCAATTTTGTATAAACGGTGGGGCGAGGGGTGCATGGTCCAAATGGAGAAATAGAGCAGATGCTTTTAAATGCTACTCCTCCTGTAGGAATGAATGAGTATTTTCCAAATTTAGTCTGAAGTATTCTTTAATGAAGTGTAAACAGCTGTGTATAAACAGTGGCTTTCGGCTCCCTTGAGTGTTAGGCTTGTGGCCAAATTGGGGAAATAGAGCAAACTCCTAAAAATCCTACTCCTCCATTAGGAATTATTCAATATTGCACAAATTTGATAAAAGTATTCTTGGGTGTAGGGGAACGATTTCTTGTAATGATTGGTTTTCAGTTCCCAAGGGATTTATGGGTGGAGTTCAACAGGGGAAATTGTGCAAGATTTCAAAAAAATTTAATCTTCAAATGGGATTAAATGGATATTGCCTAAATTTGGTCTGGAGTATTATAGGGTGAAGAGAACTGTATAAACGGTGATTCCCGGTCACCTAGGGTAGGACTAGTAAGCCCAATTGGGAAATATTTTTTTCATAAAAGTCCTTCTTCCATAAAAGGATATTGTCCAAATTAGGTCTGAAGCAATTTTCATGAACAAGGGCGGGACCCAATAGGGAAATTATATCAAGAAATTGTCATTTTTGAAATTCTTTATTAAATGGCTGAATGGTTAAATTAACCAGGTGAGGGGTGCATGATCTTTGGGCCTCCTGTTTTCTGATGCTGCAACCAGAATCATACGTTTAAACGTTAATATGAATTAATATCACCCGTGAGTAATTCCATTGACAAATAATTGCTACCTAAAGAATTCCATTGCTTTTCATTCTACATGTATCAGTACACTCGAATTATTCCTTAGGGTAGAGATACCATGATTTACATTTGTATGTGATCCAGTGTCAGACTAGTAAGCCAGAAACTATGGGTTCCAATCCTTGCGAAGGCATTGAAATAATTAATAAAAACTCTCAGAACTATAAATTTCTGTTATCGGCATTCCACAAGGGCCTGAAAATTTGTCTTCAAATTTCAAAATTGCAAGCATTTTTTTTCTACTACAATCAATGAAGGATAAAAAACAAAACGAGGAAACGAGAGTACCAGTCAAATGATTTTAAACTGAATTGATGAAACGGGCAAATCTGCAGGTCTGGATTGATAAAAGATGTACACAGAGACATAAAAACGTATTTAATGAGAATAAGAAAATGTGTTACGTTAAGACAAACTCCGTTAACGGCATCGTCGTGTGCACGAGTATCGTAATATCAAGTTCTCAAAATGAGAAAGTGTTTATAAATGAAAGCATCGAGCAAACTCGAGAGCTCTGAATACATCTCTCTTCATATTATACGATCACACTAGCGATCATCTTTGCGTCAGCTGTCGATATTTGTGACAGAAATCGTGATATTGGGAACTTATAACTTCAGAATACTAAAACAACTGTGACCAGTCAAAGCGGTAAAGTTGCTGACTAGAAATGAACGCATATCGCACCTTTAAATGACCAAATAACTTGGTTTCTATCTAAAAATGAAGTTGAAGGCTGGTCGGGGTTTCTTTGTCTTTAACATGACCGTGCTGGTAATATCTTGAAAGTCTCATAAGAGCGGTTATATTTCTGTTTAGCTGGCTTTGGATGAATGTGACTGATCTTGGGCAAGGAGCCTTTTGACGAAGCGGTGTGTTTTTATATGACCAAATATATACTAAATACGTATGTACATCGCTGACGAGGCTTCATTCTTTTAAATGGAGCGAGCGTCAACACCATTTTGAAAGGTGATGTGGTGGTGGGAAATCACTCTTACCCATGCCCTTTTCTGTAATTATTTTAACAGTAAAACGTTATACAAAAGTCCAGTACAACAGTTCCTCAGATTAATCAACGTTCCTGAGTTCTGATGTTAACGCCACCATGTCATTATTAATAAGAAATACTCAACAAAGTCTTCAAGATCAATATTATGACATCCTTTCTTAAAGTGAATTTAATAAAAGAATACAAGAACGTCATCTGTCTCATGACCTAGGGTGTGACTTTGTTTCTATGCTCAAAGGTGAAGGAAACTTTTTTCAGAAAAAAACATAAATTATGAATTGGAGAGGGGCATTATCAAGTGACTTACAGACACTTTATAAGTTTTACATGAGGACATTTCTGCTGTCTGTAGACCATACGCAATTCAGTAGTGTAAGTCCTATCTCGATATTGTAACCCTGGTCCTTGATACGACTTTTCATCTTACAGCCATCTTGAATATCAATAAGTTTGAAATTTCGTTTGTAATTAACAATATACATGACAGATGAACGGAGGGACAGCGCACCATGATATTATATCTTCGTCTCCGACCATAAAAGCTATAAATGGTACATCACATTACTGTTAACTAATCATGAATAGAACAAAAACATAAAACGCACACAACATCAAAAATAACTGTATAAATATAATGAGATTCTAAGAAGATTACTTATTTTTATTGTAATACGGGAATAGATTTCAAGTATACATCCTTCCTTGGCTCTGGCAGTTTTATTTCGAGTTCTTAATCTCCGTCATGTTTTTTTATTATTATTTTCAAACAATAATTGAGCCACGCTTTTGTACGGTTAAGGGGACGTAGCTCTTTCGGAACCTGCGTTCAAGTTTCACTCTTCACAGCAATCTGACTAGTCAACCTAGAGTTACCTTCCCTTCGCACATGGTCTACGATAATTCTCTGTAAACCGGTCAAATTTACATAATTTATTCTTCCGCTTAAACAATAATTAACCTTTAGTATGCTAATATTAGTGAAATCAAATACGACATGATAATAATAAATAACAAACCCATTAATAAATGTTACATTATTGCTTTAAAATGCCAATAGTTTTGGTGCAGACATCGAATTATATTCTGTCGCGGAAGTTTTTTCAAGGTGCTTGTCTACAACGCCACCACCTACGACATGGAATTCAAACGGGAACCACGCATGAATCAAATGGCCATGCAGCAAGCACAACAACCAGCGAGTTTGGGACCGGCTAGTGTCAAATACCTTGAAGAACTGAAAACAGAAGTGTCACAAGTTGACTCAGGTGCACTATCACACGCAGCAAGACTTTTAAATGATGGTAAGTGTGTTTGTTGCAATGATAGCAAAGACATTTTCTTTTGTTCGTGGACGCCATGACAGAAAGCGTGCGAGCCGGCGTAAATTCAGAAATTAATATATTACCAGAAACCTATTATACTATCTATCAGAGATATTATTTTTTGTCGCGTGCAATTTAAAGTAGTCTTTCTTGTCATTGTGGTGTTTTTTTGTTATGATTATTACAAATATGACCGATTATCGAATAACACATTAAATGCACCCCCGTCTTCGTAAATATTATCACCTTTGCATTACAATAGATTTTGATTGTGGCGAAGAACACATTAAATGCACCCCCGTCTTCGTAAATATTATCACCTTTGCATTACAATAGATCTTGATTGTGTCGAATAGTTAGCACCTTTAAAGCAGAAAAGGTAAAATGGATTTTTCAGCAAAACTGTTGGGTAAAGTCAATTTTGACGAAATCCAGGTTTCAAAACATAAACTTGCAAATAGTTTAAAAGTTTGAAGATTTAACTGAAGCTTTGTGTTTTTAGAAATCAAGAGAGTGGAACAAGGTAATGCCAAGAAGCAGGTCCCAACAGTGGAAGCACATCACTCAAGACCACAAGGTGTTGCTCTGAAAGTGAAGATTCCCGTTAGAGATTTTCCCAAGGTATATTCAATATGACCTATTACGTTTTACCTTTGAAGAATATGCTGGTCACTGAAGTAATGCTTATTAAGCAGTCGGAAGTTTTTTTTCTGTGGTCTCAGATTAACGTTATTTTAGTAAGACCTTTTAAGTTTATAATATTAAACTGTTATTTTTTTTGTAACACACTCGGAAATTTTGTTAGCAGTGTGTTATTTCAATCAGGTATTTTGATATATCTTAACATTTTTTTAAATGAGTGTAACAAAATCCGTGTCTCCAGGATAAAAGACATGACTGTTTTATTGTGTTAATATGTTACCTCAATTTTTATACTTTTTTGGTTTTTTTTTTCAGTTCAATTTTGTTGGGAAGCTTCTTGGACCCAAAGGAATGTCACTGAAGCGGTTACAGGAGGAGACTGGAACCAAGATGTCAATTTTGGGGAAGGGCTCCATGAGAGACAAAAACAAGGTACATTTCACTTCAGAACAATTTATACTGTGTAGTGCTAGAGAAGAAATGATATTTATTTCAGTAAATCAAAAACTAGGGAGTACTAAGTGGGCCCACATAGCTCTTGTAAAATTCATACGTCATACACATTTTTACTCCGACTAATTTTAAAAGCCTACAAATGTATAATAGTTGCTGGATACAAGCGATATGAATGCCAAAGCAGCTGACTGTTGTCATGTCATTATAAATAGCATTTGAAAGATATAAACAAACAGTAAAATATTTTTATCAAATGAAATTTCATTACAGCAACTATCAATTTATCAATATCGAAGGTATTGGATTATATTACTTAAAAATTAAAATTTACTTACTGGGGATTCAATTGTTTGCAGGAAGAAGAGATGAAGAAAGAAGGTGGAAAGTACGCACATTTAAATGAAGATCTTCATCTTCTCATAGAAGTGTACAGTGAAGTGTCTGATTGTTATGCCAGACTATCCCATGCAGTTTCAGAGGTGCAAAAATTCTTGACACCAGTAAGTATAAAACTACTATTCAAGCAGCCAAATCCTGGCTTACATTTTTAAACTATGAAAATGGGGAACAAAACACATTATCTTTCTATTTAAATTTAACACAAAGCAAAGAATCTTGGAACATTTACACTTATAACACTTGCAAGAGTTGAAAAAGATAATGTATCATTTTCTAAAGCATCTTTAGTTGTGCATGGAAAGGTTACTAAATTTTTTTTCTCTAACACACCAATCCTGACTTTATTTGTGTTATCTATAAATATTCCTGGAACCTTGGATGAGTACTTTGACTGTAAATAACAATTGAGGTGGGATAAGAATAACATTGTTATTTTTTAAATCTTTTTACCATAGTTTGAGTTTGGAGAAGTCAGTCATACATTTTGTATTGCAGGATTACAATGATGAGATTTCACAGCAGCAGATGGAGGAGATGATGTTCCTTAATGGTGAGAAGCCAGCACCAGGGGGTGTTGGTGGTGGGCGTGGAAGGGGACGTGGAGGTCCTCGAGGGGCTGGTCGTGGTGGAATCCTTGGTGGAGGACCCACTGGAGGAGCTGGTGGTAGAGCTGCACCTCCAGGCAGGTCAGTGTCACACAGGTAAATAAAAAGAGGTGTGACCAAAGGAAGATTTCACTGTAATGAGTAATGAACAAAGAAAGCAAAATAATATCATTTCATCTAGTGACAGTATTCATCACTTGATGGATCATAATGTCTCCTATTTCATTAATGCATTTCATATTTTGCAAGTGCAGAAGAGGTATTTCTTGCATCTTGGACAGGGATATCGAACGTAATGCCCCCATCCTAGATTTTTAGTTTGAGGCTCCCACAGGATAAGCCAAATTCTGATGAAATATTGAATAATTTTCAGAGTAGTAGGTGTGAGAAAACCTATTACCTGTAACCAAGCTAAACAAGGGTATCTCAGTCAAGGGCTAGATCCTGAAACAACCCAATCAAGGCTAGAATGTTACAGGATCTTGGCCCACAAATGAGATACCCTGTTCTTGCTCAGTTATAGGTAACAGATTTTATTAGTCTTGTCAAGAAAAAAGATGTTAATAAGATGGATAACAGGTAAAGTATAATGCCTTTTGTAAAGATAGTCAGTGATATGAAACTGTATAAATTGGTTGGGAAACATGCTATTATTGTGATCAATTAGATTATTGCTGATGTTGTGTTGGCTTTTATAAATTTATAATGGCCTATATGAAATAACTAACCTAACCTTGATTCAGTTTGTTTATTGTCAATTCATTATCTGAACTGGAATTATATCAGGGGTGCCCCAAGAGGTGGTTCTACAATTGGTGCAGCTAGAGGGACCCCACGAGGTGCCCCATCAGGAAGGGGAAGACCAGCTCCACCACCAGCACAAAACACCAGCTACAGCGATTACTCAAACCAGGTCAGTAAACCATCTTGTTCTTTATTAACATAGATAGTTATGAAGAAATGGTGAGTGTATTATTATTGAAACATTACTTTTGAGAATTACTGCTTCTGAAAACTGTTTTTAATACATGAAGGTGCAGATGGTCATCATTATTTATGTCATATTGTTATTTATCTGTTATCTGATTTTCACAGGGATATGAAGAATACTCAGATCCGTATGCGAGGGAAACTTATGATGCAAGTTATGGAGGCGGGTATGTATTTTTAACGTCACTTTTAGAACAACCAGACATAATTTTATTGAATGAACATGTATTACAAGTAATAGCTTTATTATCCCTTGATTGTTGCATTTATTAGCAATTGGAACTTAATATATAGGGTATGGACTCCCATACATAATGCAATGTGTTGTGTATCTAAAGTAGGTCACTCTGACCCACGCTTTGACCTTTATACTTTATGTACTGTGCGTTCACTGCTGACATGATTTTGCTCTTATAGGGATACTCAATACTTTGACTATGGGCATGGATCAAGTGCAGCAGGTGGATATGAAGAAACCGGATATGGTATGTAAACGAGCTCTTTACATCCTTTTGATATGCCTGCCTACGATGGGAATATATATTTATATTGTCTTGCCTATCCTGTCACAATTTAGCTTTTTGGTTGGTTCCTGATATAAGCTTTCATTTTAACATTATATTAAGTTGTATGCATTATTAATCTTGTACTCCTCATGACAAACACAGAGTTGAATGTCCAGTTGATACATGCAATGAAGAGCCATAACTGCAGATTTTTTTATCATGATTGAAAAAAGATGCATATTGTAATTTGATTACATGTTCAGTGATGTATCCTTGACATCAGAACTAGCTGAAGGTAATTGTTCAGGTGAAGGTCAAAGCTGCAGGATAAATTCCTGATATTTAAATGCAAAGTTTTGTGATTTTCTTCAAATCTTTCCTCTGCTTGTTTCCTTATACACATGCAGGCTTAACTTTCATCAATATTGCACAGGATAGAGTAGATAACACCATATAACATCTTCAAATTCTGAGAGGGTTTTTTCTGAATATACAACTCTAAGCTGCACTCGGGTTTTATGGTATGGCGCAATGAAATGCTCCCAGACATTTATTTATTTACAGCATTTGTCTTTTGAAATGAAGAATTATCGAAGAGATCAGTTTATGTTAATGATCAATCTACAGTGTATTTTCATGAGCTCTACTAAAAGCAACGGGTTCCCCTATGTAAAGTTTCAGTTTTTCCAGGAGTTAGATCAAAATTCTGTGATTATGGAACTCTAGACTTGAATGTAGATTTATTACTGGTCTAGACTAATCAAATATCTGCAAGGTTAACATTGACTTAATATAGTTGCAAGGTGTGCAGAAAAAAATAATTTGAGACAAACCCTTGTACAGAAGATGGTACTGGTATGTTGTCCTGTACAACGGTGAAGGTGGACATATAATGAACTGAAGCACTCAAACAGCACCTATTGATCACCATTTGCACATGAACACGATAGTACTCAATTTGGTAAAAGATGAGCTGGGTTTGATATTATCCTACAGTGGATGCATACTTTTTCAGAAAATTGTGTAAAGAATACGGCAGAGGAGAGACCAAATATTCTGATAAAGAAAAAAATCCATTAGTTTAAGGAGTATAAGTTTGTTTTTTGTGGTCTGGTTGAAAGCACTCAATCTATTACTTGTGTTTGAGACATAGTTTTTAAAAACGTTTTTCTTCATCTCGTTAATATTGGACAAGGAGAGTAAAAACTGTAAGAGAGTAGTTAGTAGTGTTTTGTATCATTAGCATATAGTTGACATGAATGTTTAATTGCATTTGATACCAAAATTAGGTTAGTGCACACACAAATGGCACTGATTAAAGTGGTAACTATTGGTCGCTTCTAATGAGTGCCTATCTGTATTTGACTTTCTTGAATCTTGAATATTTCCTTCTCCTCGTTTGCAGAGGGAGAATATGACCAAGCAGGATATGGTATGTAGCGATATTTGTACAGTTAGTATGGTTGAGATTCTTGCAATGCACAAATACCTTGGTATCAACTACAGGTGACATGGTTCTAGCTACAGTGCACAGCTTCACTAAGGTTGTCTTCTGGACACTGGTTAAATAGATGCAATTCAGGGCTCTCGATCGGCCAGATTTGGGGCCGTTATTCGGCCCAATTCCCGTTGCCAAATAGTATCTTTTCCCCCAATTTAGACCCCAAGTTTTCCCAATTGTAAGGAAAACACCATTTTTCCCCAATTCTAAGGGCCCCGGGCCCCAGTCCCAAAATGGGGTGCGAGAGCCCTGCAATTGTCTCATTAGCATGGCTTTTCTGGATGCTGTTTAGGGTAAAAAAAAATTAGAATTTGATGTAAACGTTATCCCCAAATTTTTCAATAACATAGCCTGTTCTGGAAATGAGACACTTGCCATTACTAGGATTAGCATCACACAGTATATTAAGCACTTGGTGTTACAACTTGTTCAAATTTTTGCGATTGTGTAATTAGAATACTGTTTACAAGACAAAATTCAAATGATTCTGATTAGTTACTGAAAATGGTAAATTGATCAGGCAGAAAAAGGAAAATACTGTGAATTAACTTTATGCAAAATGATGAACATCGTCTATAAGTCATCACATCACCACAAGAAATGTTTTTTCAACTCGTAGTGAATCACTCAAACAATATTGTAACAATATCTAGTTTTCAACTTCCTCCAAATATAGTAATGGTAATGATTTTTTTCCGCCACAGATTGAATTGGCTTTAAAGTTGTCTTTCCAATTTTCCTTACTTTATTAACAAGAATAATTTGCCTTTCTGAAGGATGTGTGGACGATGATGTCTGTCTGACACTGCTTAGATCTAGTGTTATACTAGTGGCCAGCTTTGTTCACATCCAACAGAGTAGGCTAGACCAAATCAAGACCATAGTGCTGACCATGACATTTGGTGTCTTTGTCAGTCTCCAGTCTTTGGAACATTTCTGAATCATTAATGTCAGATACCATGTTTTATTCCATTTAAAGTAACATGCACTTTGTCATTTGGAAAAATGAAAACTGGCTTTATAGTGTTCTAAAAGACAAACGTAATTTGAAAAATATTGGATTTCTGAATTTTACTTCTATGATAATCAATGAAAAAGTCTCAATATGAAGAACATACACTCGTGGTTCTGTACAATTCTTTGTTCAAAGCAAAGATATAATTTGAGAGAATAAGGTCTAGAAATATTTTGGAACATTTTTGTCGATTTTCAATTTGTTTCTATAAGCCAGGACTTTTTTTCACAGGTGAGACAGGTGGTGGCTGGGGATCATCCAATAGCCAGATGAAAGCTCCATCAACACGAGGGAGTCGGGGACAGTTCAGACAACATCCATATGGAGGTGGCCGTGGAGGGGGATCTTATTAGGACCAAAGCAATTTGACCTTCAGTTCATCACCTATTTGAATCTTAGTGGACATTTGTACATAGGACATCCATCATCTCATCTTGAGGTACATGTACTGCCAGTACCATCATTTCCCCTTTCTCTGGACATAAACATCCAGTTGTGGACTCTTGTTACAAGTAGTAACATAAAACATCATAGGACAAACAAATAAATGGGCCTTCCAAGTGGTACTCAATGTGTTTAAATTGTAGGGTCCTTCAACATGTTTTATAGTCCATGGTCCTTGAATGTGTAAAAAAAGTCTAGGTTCCAACTCAATGTCCTGCTGTGTTTAAAAGAGGATTAAATACATAAACTTTTCTCCTGTCAATTAAAACATGAATGTTGTGAACCATGGATATGCTGTGTAGGTAGTCCTTTTAATGGTAGACTTTTTACTCGCTGTTAAATCATTTAAACACATTGTAATCATGTTGTCATGTCTGTCAGAAATACATCATTGTTGTCATTTGCATCCAAAAAAATTTAAATGCAATAAAAAAAAACTGAAAAATAGTGAATACTGAATGTAATTTGTTTAGTTCTATATTTAATATTTACTTAATTGAATTAACAGTTATTTAAAAATCCAATGTCTCGGACGCGATTGTACATAATATATCATAGTATAAATTAAATAAAATAACTTTGCCCTCCCCAGCACTGAACTAACAGCCCTGATATTTGATATCTTTTAACTAAAGTAGAATAAGGCTTCAAGACCTGCATAAACTACTAATAACTATCCACACCACAGCAAGATCTTCCCGAGGCATTGGATTTCAAAATTTTGTTTGTCTTAAGTTGATCCGACCTTTTTGGTCAAATGAAGTGTATGTTTAAATATTTTTGCATGTTCTACACATAATCTATACCTGATTGCTGTCACTTCCAGCCATGAATAAACTATATGTATGATGAAAACTTGAAGATCACTAAAGGAAAGGTGGTATGCAGTGTAAAGATCATAAATTTTGAACAATGTTTGTGTCAGTAAAGATGAACTGATGTAAATCTCGAGTAATACTCCTGACTATCTAGGAGAAAAACAAGCAAATATAACACAGTTGTGTCAAATTGTTAAGTTGTATAGAAGGTTTTGACTGTGCAGGTAACAGTGTTCTTACCAAAGTTGTGGGAAACCAAACAAAAAGCTAAAATAAGACTGCAATACTGCATATAAAAGTATTCAGGATGAAAATTTATTGTTATTCTTCCATGATCCATATACGAATTTAAAATGTCAGAAAAGACAAATTTAAAATGTTGGCATTCAAGAAAATAATTGTTATTGAAACTTAAGTTCTCATAAAACTTCTTGTGTAGGAAATCTCATCAAAGCTGATCTGGAATAGCACATAAATTTCATCCAAAATATGTTATTGTTGTGAAACTTTATATCATATAAACCTATGGACTTGAATCCTATAGTAAAAAAAAAAAGTCAAGAAATAACCTTGATTGAAGTGCAGCAGACAAAATAGCTGGTCCCCTAAACAAGCTATAGCAACAAGGATGCATTCATAAAACAGGAATAAACAAGCTACAGGAAGCTTTCTATAAAGGGAGATCATCCACAGGTAACGTAGTAGGTAATGCTTGTCCAGTGCTCTCTTTTGCTGAATATGAGGCATGGAAAGGAATATTGTAACCATGTTAAGTTTTCCTGGTTGAATTTTGAAAACATTTAAATAACATTTCAATGATAAATACATGTTCATCTGTAAAAAAAAGAAATTCGCAAATAAGTTTATTAAAGTAAGTTTTAAAATTTATATCATTATAAATAAGATTTTTAACTTAATATTTACACTTTTTTTAACTTGTAGTTGTAGTCTGAAGCTGATGATACTGAACTATATCCCAGATGTTGTCTATGCAATTTCTTTATTGTATTCTGTTATTTACAGATGTCAAATGATCCTTGGCTGGGGAGGCCATCCACACTCAACCATGAGCCACCGGCCTACAGGGCTGGGAGCCTGGCATGCAACAGTCGGTGGAGTTGACCTCTGGCCTTTGTCATGGTCTTCTTTGACTAGCGAGGAAAGAACTGTTCTGGTACCAGTCTGGCTACTTAAGTGAGCTTAGTTCTGCTACAGAACCTGTGGCTCCTTCAGGCTTGTGATGCACATCAGCATTGCAATGGAGCATATATTTGACAAAGACGTTCCTATAGCATTGGGAAACGAGATTGGCAACAAGACCAATAAATTGATTAAAAAATCAGTTTTTGTTTTCTTGTAAATGCTCCATATGAGTTTGTCTTCTGAAAGAAAGGTTAAATCCAGCCGCCATGCTGAAGTTTACCAGGAAGGTAGACGTCGATAAGAAAGTTAGTTGAGATGGATTCTAAACACTGTATTTCTGCCTTACAATCAGTCTGCAATAGAATGTCCACCTGCAACAGAAAGAGTCGACTATCAATTTCCTAAAAGTTGATAACCTATTGTGGGATCATCAACACTTAAAAATTTGGCACACTTCATATCTTGGAAAAAAATTTAGATCTGTAGACTAGGGAAAACAAAATATTAGCCAACCAACATCAATGTGTTATTCTTTCTTGATGAATACATCTCAAATTTTGTATGTAGTCTGTAGTTATGCATGTTCAATCAGGGAAAAAATGGCGAAGGAAAGTTCGGTATCACTTTGTTTTTGAGAAGCATTGGATACATATTTAAGTTCCTATGTTGACACCCCATGGTCCCAAGCTCTGCATGATCAATTTTGGGACTGATCGGGCTAACAGAGCAGTATTGAATTTTGATTGATAACATCTGAACAGATCATTATCTTAATACCACACACAGACTACCATTGGTCCTTAGTTTAACATTGGTCATTATAGGACTAGTAAGAGAAACAAATGACCGTATGCGACAACGAAAGTTGCAGATACCGCTATTTATATTTTGAGGAAAGTTCTAATTGGATCATTGATAAGTCGTTTTTCCTTGGGCCCTAGTTGAGCTTATTTTACTTTTTAATCAATCGGATAAAGATAATGCATCGGTAGGCGCAAAGATTCATTTTGATGAACAGATTCCAACTGGTTTACTCTCGGAAAGACACCATCTTGATAAAGAATAGACACTACCACTACACTAAAACCGTTAAATTTTCATCAATTGGCACTGATCTTTTATGACATCGTCATGCAAGAACTGGGTGTATGTTATTCTGAACTTTTTTTTTCTTTTATTTGGCCGGTTACCTCTATAGCAAGAACTACACATACTTCCCTCTGGAAACTAGCGGACTGACAGTAGTAAGGGCGTGATTTAAGTTCGAATGCCTTGTCGTGGTCAGCCCTTGTCATTGGTAATAGATTTTCTTTGCCAACACTCAACCTGGTAATAGGTAATAAATGATGAGCAGCACTTTCATCTTCAAAAATCGACAGATAGCAATTAGAATATTAAAAAAGAACACCAGTCATTCGGCTGAGAAATGAAAGTCTGCTGCTGCCTCTTACCTTGTTACATCACTGGGTAAAACCCCTATCCAGCAGAGGGATGGTACCGTCAGATAACTGGATTCGTGAGACAATGCCTTAAAGAAAAAGACCGATAAATGTTTATAGTTTGACTTTTTGAGAATCTTAGGTCTTTGTCAAATATTCAGAATTTTCATTTACAAAATAATGGGTATACTTCTAAAAATATCTGGATATATTTAAAGTCTCGAGCTGCTGCGTTTCGCAAGAAAAGTGCCCGTATCTAACGAAATAATGAAAGTGAAAGTAGCAAAGCAAGAGCTTCACACGGGAAAACGTGTCCAACTGACGTGTTGTGGACTAGAAGAGTCCACGTTTGTTTATATAAATATTTAGTATACTTTACTTACCCTTGATCCGTACTTATAGATAGACATTATCTCAATACCTACAACAGAAATGGCACGTTGACTTGGAACTAATCAAACGTAAATAAGGAAAACGATGTAACCCGACACCAGTGGTTCATATTGAAATGAAAAATAATTTTAGCATAATTAATTAAATTGGACACTTTATCAGAATACACGGCTTAATCAATACCACCTGTACGTACCGTGGGGATCGGCGTCTACCAAAACCATGACTGGTATGTGGAAGGTATCCCATAGCGTCCTTAATAACATACGGGTATTCACATCAGGAAACCCTTTGCCCTGTAAAACAAGTACCTTGATGTCAAGCATGACAATACTAGAACCAAGTAAACGCAGCATCATAAAATCTAGATCACCTACCGTAATCAATATGGCTGGACCAAGCTTCGTGCAGAATCCGTTGTCTATGAGATTTTGGAAGGTGGCGTCCTTCTCAACAACAAGGATAAAAGAAGCATCCGTATGGAAATGTAAGAATGTCAAGGTCTTTCATTTATAGATGTGTTGAAATATCTTCGAATAGATCATTATAATACGTAAGCTTATGTATCCAAGTCATCAAGTGACTATAGATATGTCAAAGCCGTAGGAAAGCATTTTGTTTCTATGCGGCGATATGCTTGTTTCACTCGGTCACAACCAAGATGCGAATTTGTCATCCGTGAAAAAAAGAAAGAAAAAGTTCACAAAAGTACATTTTTAACACCGGAATTTTTTAGTTATCTCCCATCGACTTGCTCGTGAGATGTCTTGATTAAAAAAAAACATTTTTCTATGAAACTCGGTAATAAAGGATATATTTCAAAGCTCGTACGTCATTAGGAACCATCACTCCCTGAAACAAAAATATTGGTTATAAACATACCCATAATGTACTGTATACCATACCAATATTTGGTTTGACTACAATTAAACTAGAAGACCCATACATGTACTTGTAAGGTGTAATATATTGAATTTATATTGTCAGACTGCACGAGTGCGCTGTGTTTTAGGCCTACCGTGCGAGTGGTTTTACAGTCGACCAAATTTCCGTCGCCATCTTGAAAAGACAAATCCCCAGCAATGCAACCTTTGGACGAAGCCAACTGAAAGTTCACCAGACATGAGTAGAAAGCAGAATACATATAATATATTTGCTTTGTATCATTGATTCTAATATCACATTGCTACGCATGATATTCATCATGATAATGGTTGGGATTCCTTAGAAATCTGAATATTGTGTCATGAAAAGATTTCTATTTTGTAAAATTTGTCCAGAAAATCAGAATAACTTAAACAAATAATAATAAAATAAAACCACTTTGTAGGACGGTGGTTCTTGGAGAATTCCCCCTGCTGGAGGCGTTTCTTCTAGAATTACAAAAAGATGTAATCAAACTACTAGAATATCATTTAGTTTAATATTTGCTGTCAAAGTGATATGTGGGTACGGTGTCCACTGAAAGGGTAGGAGTGATTCAGACTTACCACATGGAGGGACCATCGTGGTGTGTCTAGTAAACAGGAAATGTTGTCCACTGTCTCGTCCAACTGTGCTTGACTTCCGAAGCCAGACACGTCCTGATAATAAATATCTCTGAAATAATGACAAACTGGAAATTATTGCTTCTTTGGCAACTTGCATAAAAATGACGGATAAAAAAGAATTTTTTTATATAAAATACAAATATTGTCGTAAGACTGGTTGACGGCTCTATTTTAGTCGTTATTTATTTATATTCTATTTGTTTGTCGCGAGGTGTAACGACCTTTTGGTGCAATGTTTCCCTGTCTGGACCAGTCTGTAAATGATGCCTAGAACTTTCATCATCAGTCCTGTCGAAGAGAATGACGAGATTAATAAAGCATTTAATCATTTGAGCTGAGAAAGGACGATCTCCGCCTAAAAGATATGTAATTTAACTTGCAAACATGAGGCTTGCAATTGTTCGTCAACTTAACACTCTTTCCCGAAACAAGGGAAAAGTAATCAATCACCTCTGTGTTGTGTAGACGGAGTCATCTCAACCTTTGGAATATTTTGAAAGGCTTCTTGAAGACTGTTTACATACGGATTCAGATATCCTGTCCTCATCACACACAGGGGCGAAGATCCTGTGCACTCTTGTTCCGCCCGGATAAGAGTGATTTACTGTATTTTAATGAAATATTTTTTATGGCCCAAGATATTTGAGATCTGTCAAAGCATTATGAATATATATTTAATGAAAAGTGTGATAGTATGTTATTATTGTTTCAAACATCTATCCTGTGCTTACCTAATGCCGACAAATGTTTCTATTTGAAGAGATACATTCGAAAGGAACTCACGATCTAGAAAGGGAAATAACATTTACATCAATCAAATAACCAGCTTCAGCAAGGACAACTCCGGCGTACCGAGTTTCTTTACAGATGTTTGAGAATTAAACCTTATTGATGTCATTTTCATTTGCCTCCGCATCATCAACCCATAGTCTTCCTCAAACCTGGGGGGAAAAAAGCAAATCATCAGATTCGTGTTTACCCAAAAATGATGGTGATCTGATGGAGAACATGGACGAACCGGAAAGACCCCAAACAATTCCGACTTATTCAGAGTATCATACTTATTTTTTGTGATATCATACATATCAGTAACAAATAGTACCTAATATTGTCCCATGATGTCCGACTGTTGCAGATCAGAGTCGGGGGCTCGCCACTGCTTATCTGTCGTACCATGATTAGGATAACGTTTTCTATCTTGTTAAGGACCATTTCTGCTGATATTTTTCTGAAAAATGATACAAACAGAAAATAGCGATCCCTCCAAAATAAAGCCTCTCTTCTCTTCCTCTCTCTTTCCTCCCCCTCTCTCTCTCCCTCTCTCTCCCTTCTATCTCTCACGCTAGACTCGTTTGACCAGTGCTTGAACACAAAACATAGTAATTTGCTGCTTTAATCCGAATATTTGTCAATGGTTTCAATTAAGGGTGTGTAAACATAGAAGGGAAATGTCAGGAACGTTTTAGCTATACTCAAAATCACATGCAGCAGTTGTTAAAATATCGGCAGCTGGTTAAACGACGCCGGTGTAATGGAGGATATCGACGAAAGCTCGAATCCCTCATTAAAATATCAAATATCTACAATGTTGCTTTGGTGTTGTTCTGTGTAATGATATTCAAACCCTTCTACAAAAAACCTGAATCGGCACCTGATATCAGCATGCGTTTCAATGATACGGATTACTTTCGTCTTTAAATCGATACAGAATACCGCCAACTTCTTTCAGAATAGAAATTTGAGCTCGAATTTGGCATCTAATCATTTACTCTTTCAGTTGTAAATGATGTCATTTTATCAAATCAGGAAAAATATGTCGTACTTACACATGAATGTATATTGTCACCGAAATCTGATTTTGATCATTCTATTTGCCATGGCAACCGATCGAACAAATCATTCGCAAATTGTAATCCACTCTGCAGTGACACGCATACATCATGTTCATTAAAAATTAGGGTTAGGTCCCTTGACCCTTCCTTATTTTTCATTTGCCATGTTTTTATTTTCATATCGTGCCACATATACTTAAATAATGAGCTGAGGTTTCAGTAGTACTTGAATGTATGTGATTTTGTAAGTATAATTGAATATTGTAATGTATAAACATATAGGTAGCTGTATGTATACCATCCACAGATGGTCAAAGGGGAGGTAACTTCGATAAATGTATTACACGTTTGCCTCCCTTGCTTACTGTAACTCTCATGTGTTAGGAGGAGAATAAAGGAAGAAAGTTGAAGAGGATAGTTGTTTTATGTATATTCCCTCTCACTACCTAGAGCCTATTTATTTAATGAATTTTTTAATCTTATCCAATGTAAAGATCTTTTATTCATTCATTTTACAATAGATCTGTTGTATCATTTTTTCTTTTTCTAAATTTCGCTTTATTCTTACATAGAAAACCACTGACATTTTAAATCATAAATGACACGTAAATAGTTAAGCCAAATTCCTGGTGAAAACTACCTCGACTTCTCTATTATGTAATTGAAATTACTCACTCTCTGCCGTTTGGTATGGCCATCTTCCTAATGTCAGAGAAAATGGCCTTCTGAAAATTGTCGATTGCTCGCCAGCAACCACTGGACTTTTCACAATAGTCCATCACGGTAGGTCGATATAGGCCTATGTGTCGTCTGCTACGTACAGCGCCACCTAGCGTCACAAACGGATGATTATTACCTCCCTTCTCCCACATTGTAATAAGAACAAACCAAAAGAAATATAGATTGTGTCTGAAGGTACCTGTGCGTGAACAGAATTCTGTTCGCAGGTCAAACTATTTGCATTACCCTTAGTGAAATATGGAGATAGTGAGTTCTGGAGTTAAATATGGAAAAAGGTGAAATAAAAAAAAAAAAAAAAAAAAATCATTGTTACCAGTTTCTATACATATTTGATGAAATTGAATCGAATTTCAGATTCTGTTAATCATATAATTTAGTTATATTTGTAAGCATCCGAGAAAACAACATTTTGGTGATTTTTTTTACCCCATATGTTTCTTTCTTCGATGACATCACAACTTATCTGATGCAATGAAGTTATGACGTTGCTAATGGAACAACGAGTTCTTCAGCCATTCACATTTCCGCCAGTTGTTATTACATATTTTGTTACAAAAAAATTTATATAATGAATGCTATCATACTGATGAGGGGATAGTTTTATCATCAATGTAAAATAAGTTTTGGTTACTGACATGGAAGTGTTGCTAGTTGATTTCATTTTAAATCAAGCGAATTTTTGCGTAATTGAAGTACTATAAAATTGCAAAGGGACAACACTATGTGATACTGATTTGTCTATACCAGGAAGATTTTCTTTTCTAAAAAAGGCTTCCTCGGCAGGAGTATTTTAACAAACGCCTTGCATTTGTCAGGGGGTGACTAAGACTGAAGAGAGGTAAATAACGGGGTTTTTATATTTAATTTTTAATGTGCGGTCCTATTTGCACTTATTTGATTCTAAAGCAACGATTTTTTATGTCACGAATTCAAACATGACAAACGATTTTACGGTCTTTTCATTATATGTAAACAGCTCGAACGATTTGAACGGTGAATCACTTTTTATGAGTCAAGTTGGGAATTTTGTACTTTAGAAAGTAATTGATAGTGCGAACGGAAAGAAGCTGCTATAGGACACTACGAAGACGAGTTTATAATAATTATACACATATATATTTAATTAAGGCGCGTGACAATTAGGCTATGGAACATATGTATAATATAATGGTGTATTTTTGTTTTTATAATTTTGATATTATATAACTAATTCATCGAGAAACAGAGCACCCTTTTCACTGCTCTTGATAAGATATTGATAAAATGACGTCACACGCTCGCGGATAATAATATGACCATTAAATCATAAAATGGCTAAAATGCTATTGTAAACGCTTTCGATCCATGCAGTACACATATATTTGTTTCAACTAGGAAGTCCTCGAGTTTTAACAACTCTTGAAATCAACAAATACAGATGTACTGCTCATTATTTTTCATAATTTGTGACAATACACTGTACTTGGAATTTTGAAACCAAACTATTCCTTTCAATGACGTTTAATCGTTATCGAATATCTTAAATTTACCTAATATCCTTATAAGGTGCTTGCCTTTACATATTATTATCTAGTTGATTTGGTAGATTGGATTTATTGAATTTTATATCTCAATTCAATTTTACAGAGTTAGAGAAATACAGAATTTTATATCTCAATTCAATTTTACAGAGTTACAGAAATACAGAATTTTATATCTCAATTCAATTTTACAGAGTTACAGAAATACAGAATTTTATATCTCAATTCAATTTTACAGAGTTAGAGAAATACAGAATTTTATATCTCAATTCAATTTTAGAGAGTTAGAGAAATACAGAATTTTATATCTCAATTCAATTTTAGAGAGTTAGAGAAATACAGAATTTTACATCTCAATTCAATTTTAGAGAGTTAGAGAAATACAGAATTTTATATCTCAATTCAATTTTAGAGAGTTAGAGAAATACAGAATTTTATATCTCAATTCAATTTTAGAGAGTTAGAGAAATACAGAATTTTACATCTCAATTCAATTTTAGAGAGTTAGAGAAATACAGAATTTTACATCTCAATTTAATTTTAGAGAGAGAAATACAGAATTTTATATCTCAATTCAATTTTACAGAGTTAGAGAAATACAGAATTTTATATCTCAATTCAATTTTACAGAGTTAGAGAAATACAGAATTTTACATCTCAATTCAATTTTACAGAGTTAGAGAAATACAGAATTTTACATCTCAATTCAATTTTAGAGAGTTAGAGAAATACAGAATTTTATATCTCAATTCAATTTTAGAGAGAGAAATACAGAATTTTATATCTCAATTCAATTTTAGAGAGTAAGAGAAATACAGAATTTTATATCTCAATTCAATTTTAGAGAGTTAGAGAAATACAGAATTTTACATCTCAATTCAATTTTAGAGAGTTAGAGAAATACAGAATTTTATATCTCAATTCAATTTTAGAGAGAGAAATACAGAATTTTATATCTCAATTCAATTTTAGAGAGTAAGAGAAATACAGAATTTTATATCTCAATGCAATTTTAGAGAGAGAGAAATACAGAATTTTATATCTCAATTCAATTTTAGAGAGTTAGAGAAATACAGAATTTTATATCTCAATTCAATTTTAGAGAGAGAAATACAGAATTTTATATCTCAATTCAATTTTAGAGAGTAAGAGAAATACAGAATTTTATATCTCAATGCAATTTTAGAGAGAGAGATACAGAATTTTATATCTCAATTCAATTTTAGAGAGTAAGACAAATACATAATTTTATATCTCAATTCAATTTTAGAGAGTTAGAGAAATACAGAATTTTATATCTCAATTCAATTTTAGAGAGAGAAATACAGAATTTTATATCTCAATTCAATTTTAGAGAGTAAGAGAAATACAGAATTTTATATCTCAATTCAATTTTAGAGAGAGAAATACAGAATTTTATATCTCAATTCAATTTTAGAGAGTTACAGAATTTTATATCTCAATTCAATTTTAGAGAGAGAAATACAGAATTTTATATCTCAATTCAATTTTAGAGAGAGAAATACAGAATTTTATATCTCAATTCAATTTTAGAGAGTAAGAGAAATACAGAATTTTATATCTCAATTCAATTTTAGAGAGAGAGAAATACAGAATTTTATATCTCAATTCAATTTTAGAGAGAGAAATAAGAGATTTTATATACAGAATTTTATATCTCAATTCAATTTTAGAGAGAGAAATACAGAATTTTATATCTCAATTCAATTTTAGAGAGAGAAATACAGAATTTTATATCTCAATTTAATTTTAGAGAGAGAAACACAGAATTTTACATCTCAATTCAATTTTAGAGAGAGAAACACAGAATTTTATATCTCAATTCAATTTTAGAGAGAGAAATACAGAATTTTATATCTTAATTCAATTTTAGAGAGTTAGAGAATTACAGAATATAACTATTATCTTAACTTTTCTTCAGCATCCTATGACGAAACACTATGCAGCTGTCGAATTTTGATTTACATTTTCTGATACTGCAAAATAATAAATTTTCGCGAGGTTTTGTTTTCTTTGAATCCGTCGGTATTATTTATTCACGAATTCATTTGTCAGCGAAATGAGTAAGATTGAAATACTTACATCAGTTTTTAATGGTAATGAATTAACGAAATAAAGTTTCAACTTATTCTTTCTTTAAACGAAAACCCTAAAATAAACCATATGTAAGATTTAACTAGTGTATTTATGTAACCGTTGGTTAGCAGTACTGACATACAGTTTTAGCTTTATTTATCAATCCATGCTGATGCTCAGTGACATAATTACAAATTATTTAATTTACAATGAATACATTTCATAATGTTTAAAATACAATGACAACAGTTAGTTGAGATGACCCATTTCATTGGCATCAGCATTAATGACTAGAAGCTTTCATGATAAAGTGTGTTTATTCATTTATTTTGGAGGGGATGGAGGGATGGAGTTGTCTCTTGACGCAGATGGCACTAATAATAGCTGTCCACTATAACGTCATCACATGTGTTGTTTGGAAGTTGTGAAAAGGATCAGAGTCATTTGCTTTATTGTGTATGAAAGTTACCGAATATTTTGACCTTAGCAGGCCAAACAAGAACGCGACAAACATATAATCTTAAAACGTACACTATTGTATAATAAATATCTATTGATTTATTTATGAAGCATGCGACGTCAGCTAAACAGATAGACAACGACACAATAGAAGATATTTCAATTTGAAATTACAAACTTTTTTCTTGAAAACCATAGTTACGTAGGCAAACTCATTAATACTTTTCTTGATTTTTCAGTATTTATATTTCTACTTTTTTGAAGATGACATATCCTAAAAAAAACTCTTATTTATTTATTTATCTATCTATTTATTTATCTACATGTACAGATGTGTGTAAAGAGAACAATAACAAGACACGAATTGACCCATACTCAATACTCTAAGGGTTACTCTCATTATTACTCTCATGCTTTCATGGAAAAATTGAAAGTACTATGTACGGCACCTTGTTGATAAAACGAAAAGACTCGTTGGATCCCGCGGTCGCATAACGGTTTTCTGTACTGGTTTTGAATTTGGGTGTCATTCCTTTGTAATCTTCAAATGAGCGTATCAATCTGTAATTGGGACAGGTTTTTTCTCCCGAAACCCGCTTTAAACCAATCAAATTGCTTCGCTTGTGTATTCAATTTTCCAATGAAAGGTTCCAGCGACATAGAGAGCGAAATTGATCGTAACCCCTGAAGTATCGAGGATGATGTTGGCCATGGCCATCGTACACACCATGTATACCCTCTGGAATTGGAAATCAAGTAAAAGACTGATTTACCTATAATGGAACCATTAAGGAGAGCTATACATAAAACCCTTTGATGAGTATAATGATTTAATTTTACTATTTTGAAATGTCATCATGATCTCATTGAGAAATTGGCTATTTATTTGTTCGATATATAGTTAGATGCACTAGACCTCGTTAGTTTGTCTTGTGATTTCGTTGTTGTTTGAGAAAACGCAGCATCACTTAGATTTTTTGATGAAGCAGAAGACGCTTACATTTCTAGAACTCGTGGTCTTATTGTCCTTGTACTTTTTGTGAAGGTTCTCTGTGTAAATTTTCTTTTGTTCCATATGTCTATCGATTTTTAGTTTGAATCACGATTGTTTATATTTTGCGGCTTGTTACTTTCGCGATTTCCACATTGTTCAGTTTAAGATATTTAACAGTATGGCCATGCAGTATAACGAGTTCACAGGTGTGTCAGTTGTAGCATTTGTTTGTCGTTAAAATAAGGTAAATATATGTTCTATTGGCTTAGGGCATGTTTTGTTCTTTATTGTCATAATACTTGTCAGATCAAGGTAGTCCTTTATAGTAACTGTATTCACGACTATACAGGTCTTTAATTTTGCAATAATTTGGAACTGGTCAATCCCTTTGGTCAAGAAACGTTTTATTGTGTAGTTGCCTACTTTCGGTAACATTCAAGATTTATATCTACAAATTACAGCAACATCACTTGGTTCCAACTTTTGTATTTGTTTTCTAAGAAAGGCACCATTACAGGAATTAATCTTAAATTTGAATGTTATTGTTAATTTATCAAAGATTGGCTAGAAGGGTACCTTCGATTTCCCCATTCCTGACGGGTATTAACAAGAAAGAAACCAGTTTTCCAATTACTAGGTTTTCTTCGGGAACTGAAGGGTTTTTCCAGATTGGGATCTCCATTACACAAACTCGAAAAAAAACCCCAAAAAATTCATAAGATCGATTTTAATATGTTCAATAATCCAATAAATTATACATACATCTTATTCAATAATACGTCGATAAACACAATGCATATTATAACAATAAAATACCGATTGACAATGCTTAAAGTTTAAACGTTTCTCGAGAGTAACCTTTGTATATGGTTCTTTAGGGTAATGCGACTTTTGGATAGACTTGTACAGACTCCACAATGATTTGGAATTAATTCAGAACAGGATGTGAGGTACATGTACTTTTAGTGACTATCAAATACCTATTAATAGAAACTTTTTTCGTCGATTCCACTTGTATTATTTATTGTCTTCACACCTGTATGTCACCCGGATTAGTCACGGATTGGTCAATATTTAAAGAACTTTAAGAAAGGTAAAGTCTTGATTTATTTGTATGCTACCTAAAGTAATTTAGAAGGATAGCGATGAAAAAGTATTTGTTTTTTGTACTTCTGGGTGTTATACTGATTAACGAGTCATCTCTTTCACATTAATTCCATGAACATTCAATAACATATTTGTAAACTAAATACAGGTACATGTATTTTTACCATATATCTAGGTTGATCACCACCATGTTCCAGTTTGTCATTGTAGCCGTAGGCTTTTTCGCCGGAATAAGCCACGCAACATCTGAAGACATCGGAAACGTCACTTTGGTAGGTATCTTTAATGAAACGTTGTATTGTTTAGCATGAAGTTTCCAGATTACTCGCTGTCTCCTTTTACATTCTTTTATAATACATGTACATTTAACATTTTTATATTGGTAAATATGCGAGAATCAAGAAGATGGAACTTCTTTGTTTATTTTCTCATGCGCTTATGAAATTACTTATTTTCCATTGGGTAAATTCCACTAAGGTGTTTGTTTATTTAGCATTCAGGATGCTGTTGTATTGCATGAATGGACCCAGTTGTATTTGTTTTAATGGACTCAGTTGTATTAATGGACCCATATGTCTTTGTATTAATGAACCCAGTTGTATTTGTATAAATGAACCCAGTTGTATTTGTATAAATGGGTCCAGTTGTATTTGTAGTAACGGACCCAGTTTGTATTTGTATTAACGGACCCAGTTTGTATTTGTATTAATGGACCCAGTTGTATTTGTATTAATGGACCCAGTTGTATTTGTATTAACTGACCCAGTTGTATTTGTATTAATGGACCTAGATGTCTCTGTATTAATGGACCCAGTTGTATTTGTATTAACGAACCCAGTTGTATTTGTATTAACGGACCAAGTTGTATTTGTATAAATGGACCCAGTTTGTATTTGTATTAACGGTCCCAGTTTGTATTTGCATTAACGGACCCAGTTGTATTTGTATTAACGGACCCAGTTGTATTTGTATTAACGAACCCAGTTGTATTTGTATTAACGGACCCAGTTGTATTTGTATAAATGGACCCAGTTTGTATTTGTATTAACGGTCCCAGTTTGCATTTGTATTAACGGACCCAGTTGTATTGGTATTAATGTACCCTGTTGTATTTGTATTAACGTATTAACGGACCCAGTTTGTATTTGTATTAACGGACCCAGTTGTATTTGTATTAACGAACCCAGTTGTATTTGTATTAACGGACCCAGTTGTATTTGTATTAACGAACCCAGTTGTATTTGTATTAACGGTCCCAGTTTGTATTTGTATTAACGGACCCAGTTGTATTGGTATTAATGTACCCTGTTGTATTTGTATTAACGTATTAACGGACCCAGTTTGTATTTGTAATAACGAACCCAGTTGTATTTGTATAAATGGACCCAGTTTGTATTTGTATTAATGGACCTACTTAAAACAGTTTATGTTGTATATGTTTCTTCTAAAGAAAAGATGATTTTTTTTCTTCAGAAATAATATGGGACAATATAACATAAAAAGAGAATAAGGTTAGGAAAAATGGTAGGTTTGTTTTCTTTCCTTATTTTGACAATGTTTCATTAAACCTATCATGTAAATCAGATTTTCGACTTTTTTGGCATGTGCAGTTTCTGTCACGGAATATCAGCACAGTGGAAGGAGATGTATACTCCGTCAACATCGAGACAGACACAACCGAAGGGAGGGACATTGTTCACTCAACCATGAATGGGAATGATTCACAGACTGTGATTACAGACCATAAACTAGTAAGTTGAATCTGGATATCTACATCTACTGAAATCACTGTATGTTTCAGATACGATTTAGTATAGTATTCAGTTGTAATCTTTAGCCCGTATCGGCGTTGTCTATGACATTAAATTGCCTTCATTCGTGTAGATGCTTATACATTGTAACATTTATTCCACAGAAGATTACCTGTTGAAATGATAAAATCGCATTCTGTGAATAAAACACATTATTTCATGAGAGGAAATAGTCATACACTGTATTTAAGAGCTAGTTTCCCGTCGAATAACATATATCCGTTTGCAATTTTGTGTTAACTGTTTACTGCCCAATCAATGGGAACACCATTGCATTTTCTATGTTACATATTTTAAATAAAGGAAAATGAAAAAGCGCGGATATAACCTGGTATTATCTTTAATTTGGAAATTAACCGAAATTAACTTCAAGCCTATATTTCCTTATTCAATTCTCTCTTGTAAACACGAATGAAGAATTCTAAACACTGAAACATACGCATAGCAATAGTAAAACTATCATAACCCACATCTGAAGAGTAAAAAAGATGTAGATCTTATTGCAGCAAAAACTGTCTTGTTTTGTCAAAATAGGTACTTAATGTATAGATATGCTTTTAATTTGTATTGTTTGCTGGGTTCATTGTCAGGCATTTTGAATTGGAGCTTCTTACTAACATATTGTTTCTACCTCACTGAAAACCTGGGAGATGCTCCTATTTTATACCTACGTAAATTGTTACAACAAATGTTATTGTTTCATTGTTCCAATTACATTCTTATTTGATTATCATAACAAAGATTGCATTTCATTTATTGTGTTTAAATATTTATATGTCGCATCGAATTTTCCAGTTGTCATCCTTATTTATCCTTCCAAGATTTCTCATTGCCCAGAAGAATACAGGAAGAAAATTCAAGGCCATATGTTTGAACTAAATCTGTGCCTCTTAAAGCAGGAAAATCCTTGGCTGTGTTAATGAATTAGTAGTATAGAGAATTGGAGAGATTCAGTTCACTCTATCATTTGGAATTTCTTTTCACTTTTTGCTTTCATGTTTTTATTTTCAAGAATATACGTGTTGTTATTCCGGACTCGGAATCCGAGGATTGCCACTTTTCGGAACTTGACGATGAGGAAAAAAAGGAACCGTCACTTGAGGAGGGCATAGAGGGCGTGACTACTGTAAGAATGGTTTATGAAGATTGCACAAAAGACACACAAAGATAGCACATTCCAATACAAATTTAGAGCAAGATAGAGGAGGGGCAAATAGCGAATTAAACTGTATCATATATCTGTTTTGTCCTAGGACTCGTCAGGGATAAGAAGCGCCTAAACACTGAAATCTAGGAGGCGACTTAGGAAAATCAAAACTGGGAATGGGAATGTGCACTAGCCCATATTTGAATTTCCCAATATCTGATAATTACAAGAAGGTGAATTATATGTGTATATTCTATACACTTCCGCTGTTCCTATCAATAAATAAGTATTAATTTGAACCTCAGTCTTTGAGAACTGTTTTAATGGAAGACACAGGAAGGAACTATCATGTTTATTTAGGATCATGATTGGTAATGTCTTCATTATAACACTGTATATTTTAGCATCTTTTTGATATGTGTCTTATGATAGACTATGGATTCTGCGGTATCGGAAAACGTCAATGCCACTGACGAGAAAGCTTGTTTATATGAGGATGACGACCCCGTTATGACAGAGAAGTTGAAGGCTACCCTAACATCCTTATGTGGTCCGAGAAAAATACGTCATCTGACCAGAAAGGCCGAATGTCAGGATGTACCACAGGAGGGGGGTCATCAAGGTGTTTTATATTCATAAAAAGAAAAAAAAAGAGCAGATTCTTTAATCATGATGGAATGCATACCTTGAGAATTGTACAAAAATACAAATTAATAACAGATTTCAATACAGAAACCGAGAAGTAGAGTCAAATGCTCAATTAAAGATTGTGAAATCTATCACCTGTATTATAAGGCACTACTCGGATATGCCTTCATTTTGAAAGTTACTTATGTCTACATTCAGACTCGGTATAAATGCTTTACAAACTAGTCAATAAATTTATCTAAATTTTTATAGCCATGTATATGTTCTTAATAACTCTCTTTTTTCGTTAAGGTGAAACGGAAGAGACCGGATCTGACGTGCTTGCTCGCCAAAAGAGATGGTGGTGTCCATTCCGGGTCTTCTGGGTCTACCGAAGGGTTACTATATGCTCGTATAGGCGAATACACTTCTTGTTTTTCTCTTGGTGGAAGAAATGCTGTTACACCTTTACACATTGTTACCCAGTGTATATCAGATATTGCTATGGCTAAGAACAGATCAGTTTTCAGCAATTTTTTCACGTAAGAAAAGTTCACAAAGAATGAATGAATTACGTTATAATTGATTTCATGTAATTGCAGGCACTTATTATCGAACTATTCATAATAACAGTTCTAAAAATTCATAGGAAAATACTTTAAATGTTAATTAATGCTTTAGCTATTTTACTTCAAATTATCTATATCAATTCTATTATTGTTCCGCTAATTCTATGCTTGAATAAACCATTTTGTGATATTTTCGAGTTTAGCTTTTGCATTGAAATAATTAACATATATTTAGGATGAAACATTGGGATTTCACACTTTCCTGATATGCCAGCACAAACATCCATGTAAATGAAGGTATTTGTCAAAACACTTTCGTGTCTGTGTTTGCATTATGTTTGAGTTGCATTATCAAATATTTGAGAACATTGCAAAATACTGTTTCATTCAAATTATTCTCCCAACCAGAAGTCTAATTTCAGTAGTAAAAAGCTGATCGAGTGTAGATTAATATAGAATGGCGAACAAAGTCAGAAACTTAACGGAACATTTTGTTATCGAATTAAAATTAAATATTTCTGTTTCAAGCCATATTTGATTGTCACATTTGATGTGTGAATTAGAAAAAAAAATCCAAAAATAATCGTCGAGTTAAAAACCTCTCCAAATTAAACATTTCCAGCAACTTATAGATTTTGCAAAATAATCATTGTCCTGAGAACCAACAGGTGTGGTTACTAGTGTCAGTAAAACCCTCCTTTTTGTTGCAGGACTTTAGTAACACTGTGATAGTTCGAATTATTCTGTGTTATTAATTCATTGAATGTTGATTATCTTTTTCTTAGCAGATTTAGACGAAATACATTGTAAAATTAATAAGGTAACAAATTTATTCAATAAATATAAGAAATGATTAAATTACCTGATTTTGGGATTCATTGAATTAATGTATGAGAAGCAAGGGTAAATTATTTGAGATTAGGAAACATTGGTGCGATGATTTTCGCTGTTGATAATTTATCACATTTTTTTCCGATCTCAAACATCGCCACACAATCCTTAAAATATCTCCAGTGAGAATCTCCGAACCCCTATATTTGGAAGCACAATATATCTACTTAGGCCTAGCAAATGATTTGGTATTCACCTGCTAACAGTAAAATATGCTATACTCAATGAGGAAATAGGTAAATAAAGATGCACTAAAATAAATGGATAAAATGTGTTCCAGCTGAGTTTCGAACTACCAGCCATATCGAGTTCATTGTTTAAGACTATAACTTAAGTACCGTAAATTTATCTACTATTGGAACCACAACAAGAACACGGCAAGAGACTCTGATTGGTAAAAATGTAACACGCTTTGACTCAATAACCATTGGTCATATTGAAATGAAACTTGGTGCGAGCACTGAGGACCATGTGTATATTTGGTTGAGACTAATAGAATCTTTCACCCCCTTTGGGGTGAGACAGAGGGATCTCAACCCGAGGGGGGTTATAAAGTTGTCAAACACGAGGCTTGCTGAGTGTTTGACAGCTTAATAATCCCCCCTCGGGTTGAAATCCCCCTGTCTCATTCCAAAGGGGGTGAATGATTATTTTTCTCTAACCCTGTTCCCCCGCTGATTATAAAATGTAGAATGTTTGTAAACAAAAACTCGTAGACAACGTATGAATATAGTGACGAGACCGTTTCAACCGCGTCACGCTTAATTGTGATATCCCGTACAAAATATAATTCCCATTAACGGTATAGTAAAACATAGAAAGGCATAATATTGATGATAAAAACAATTTTAATGTGAAAGTATGGATGAGATGACTTCAATATATACACAAAATTAACACATATTATTAAATCGTTATTTTACAATGACGTCATTTACATGTCAAGTTCCTCTTCCGTGTCAAGATAGTGTCGTCACATTATTGTTGAGAACGCGCAAGGAGCGCGTGTAGCTTGTCTCAACCCTAGGGTGAGATAGAAAAATCTCACACTGGTAAAAACTGTGGATATCCCTGTCCGGGGTAAGAGAAATATTTTTTCCATCCAATCCAAGATGGCCGACGCAGCAAACAAAATCTAAACGTTGTCTAACTTTGATGAAACTTAATACATTGTGGCCTCTGGCTGTTAATGTATCTATACCTAAAATGGTTTTTCGTAAGTCGAGAAGATTATCACAAAACGGAAAAGGTTACTTTAATGGTAAATTGCTTGAAAATTGTTATCTTGGCTTCCTGCTACACTTTAACGGTTACTTTGATTCATCACTGAAACAATAAGCATCCTAAAGTAGGACTTTGCACTGAAAAAAGATTTGTGTACCCATGTATTTGAATTTCTCCATAGTATTAAGTCTATTTGACATGTATGTAAGAAGTGCTGCTAGTTACTGTAGCGAATTATGGAGATCCCATTCTGCCTCCGACTTAGTGAAGACACGATTAGATTTTGATAGAAAATATTCTTGGAATTGAACGGTCGACCCCTGATGCTATGGTACACTTTGAACTTGTCGACCCCTAATGCTATAATATACTTTGAACTTGGGAGAGTCCTGTTGTCTCTTTTGCTTAAATTAAATATTGATGTAAACTGACCTCTACCAATGATTGCATTGTAAGAGGATGTAACGAATACATGTACGACCAATGTGACGCTAACCCGAAAACTGTGCTGCGAAGGTCAAACATGAGTTTGGTGCATTAGGTATAATGGATTTTTGGATCTGCCATTATGCCATAGATGCAACTATTAAAACTCTTTTGCTTCGTCTCCTAAATGTGTATAGTATTTAGCAGAAAATTAATTGAATGACCTGAAAAGAAACTGTTGTTATAAAGTTTAATACAAATGTTGTATCAATGAACTGTATAATGTTATGGTGAATATAGAATAGTAATGATGTAGAACTATCTTCAATTACTAAATAATTCAATTAGCATTACTTTGCGATAGCAGGGGTAGTTTGACGGTCTCCATTACATTTATTATATCAGAATAACTGTAATATATTCTATACATCCCTCTTAATATAAGTCGTATGTATGGAAAGTATTTAGCGGAATCTTAACTGGATGAACACTACTAAAAGATCAGATTCTGTGGATAAAAGAGACTTGCCTCTGATATGTGATATGTCAGCCTAGTGTTTTACTCACAATCAATGTTGTTTTCATTTTAATGCTACACAGTATAAACAGATTACAGACTAAACCATATGCATGATGGTAACAATGGACTGTAGTCAATTCGCTTTGTTTAACTCCTCGTCATAGACATGTGACGGTCTGTGACCCATCTCGTCCTCGTTTATTAACGGATCGTTTCAGCGTCTCCAGAATGTTTCCCTACCAAATCGCTTGAAAAGGGTGCTTTCTTTGTCAACTGTCTGTTTTGCCTTCTTGGTATTCTGCGTCTTTGTGATGTTAATTGAGTGGGACCCCTGATCTCCTGCCTGTTTCTCCTAGATACAATGCATCGCAGTTGCTGTTGCAATGCCATGACCGTGGTAAATCCTCTGAATGGTTTCTGACAGGACCTTTTGATGTAAGGGATGACAACTTGTCCTTTCGTTTTGTTATTTCCCTTGGTGCTCGGTGTAAAACTGCACCTAGATACCAAAATTCAAATTGGACGATATCTAAACTTGGGCCAATTTTTGACCAGTGGGGCCGCGGTTGACTGGTCAGTTGACCGATCGAAAGAAGAAAATTTCCGTCACACCGTCTCTCAAACACGAACACTACTGTGTAACGTTACGTTATATTTCAACCAAAAGTGTTCGAGAAACATCTCGGACACCTCGGCGGCGGAAGAATGTGGAAGTAATAAAATAAGTATTTATATAATAAAACCCGTTCTTATGTTAATGACCGCAGCGACAATACAACAACTGTTCAAGGCTGAGTACATCTTAGATCAACTAACCACATGAGGACATTGAACGAGGGTTATTTGCCAAGTATACTCTAATGAATTCCAATTTAAGACGTCTACTTGTACATTTGTCGCCATTTTGTTTGAATCACTTTTGAAAACACGTCCTCTTATCGACTACTTTTCCCTTAAGTAGTTAGCTACATAACGGATTTATACTTGCTAATGTATTGAGGAGCAAACAGTCGATAACGTCATGGTGCCGTAACTATACATTTTTTTTATTTTCCAAAGGGAACCTTGATAACACAAGAAACGTATCGCCTGCTTTTTGTCCTTAAGCAACAAGTTTGTAACGAGGTTATTTATAGGCTAACTGCTTATGTATTTGTGGAACAAACAGTCGATAAATCTACGGTGCCATGTACAGTACCGATAGTGTATAATTATTTACTTAACAACTGCAAAATTGTACATGCGCAGAATGACCTGTCCCCTAGCAGTGACACAATGACAAGATATTTGGTGAGAATGGCTTGCAGTACTTTCACGTCAAGGCGAATCCTAAATGTAACTTTCTAGAACCGGAACCTGAACTTCCAGCTCTCACGTACCTG